GGGCTCTAGTTCCTGGGTCGGTCGGCGGAATCCACTCTGTTCTTCTTAAAGATGCCTTTCTCTTAGAGATAGATTAAACCTCTGGATGAACAGGGTAAGGACCTTTATAACACTGTGGTTAAGAGTGGTCACTGTAGGGGGCTGGAGAGATGGCTCAGAGGTTAAGAGCACTGACTGCTCTTTCAGAGGTCCTGAGTTCAATTCCCAGCAACCACATGGTGGCTCACAACCAACAGTTATGAGATCTGGTCCCCTCTTCTGGTGTGCAGATACACATGGAAGCAGAATGTTATATACATAATAAATCAATAAAAATCTTTTTTTTTTTTTTAAAGAGGGGTTACTGTAACTGCTGCTGAGGACAACTGTTACTTAGTGTGGGTAGATGGTAGCAATATGGTAAACATAATTTGGCCTCAAGTATGGCTAACAGTAAATATTAATGATGTATGTATATAAGTCTAAATGGCTTGTTGAAATTCTACTGTCACTTAAATGCCCAAATCAGAAGCACATTTAACTAATTACTGCAGTATATTTGGTTCTTTTCTTTTAGTTTATCTTATTCCATGTACTTAAAAAATTAACCCTTATTTTTCTTTATTTTATGTCAGACACTTTACATAGGAAGTTTTTACGTCAGTGTTTTAAACTGGCCAGCCATTTAATTTTCTCATATACCTTCCCTATCAGAGAATTCCTTCCTTTTGACGGCATATGTTCATAACTTAAGTAACAGTTAGAACTGAATCCTTGCCAAAAGAAAATTACCTGTACTTTGGAATATAAAGGAAAGTCCAGAGAATACTTGGGCAATTTTAGCTGCCAGGAAGACAAATTATGCCACAGCTGGTCCCTGGGAAACCCATTAGAACCCCCTGAGGAGAGGGGGTGACCAAGTGAGTATAATCTGAGAGTACAGCCCAGCAGCACTGCATAAAGACAAGCAGCTAGTACAGAATACTCTACAGGTAAAAGCCCACTTTATCTAAAGGTAGTGGTTAATTTTTCAAACCAAGGAAACTTGATAAACCAAAGATGTAAAGTATTGTGTAGTCACCACTTGAGAAATGAAAGAACCCAGAGAAAATAATGAAATATAATAGAAAGTCAGTCCTTATTATGTAGAATTTGGGATATTGTCAAGGCACAGGCGTTGTCATTTAGTTCCTATCCTGAATTACATAGGAGATGGTAAGGGTTGTCATGGGTTGTTAGTAGGTAAATTATGTTAGTCAGGTTGGGAAGGCATGATTCCCTTTTAATGAGAGCATTAAAATAAAATCAGTGGTAATTGTGTCAAAAGTATGCTGGTGGCTGTTGTCTCAGACCAAGCAACAGGGCTGTTCCTATGCCAGAGTCTAATACGTCTCTTGTCATTTCTGCTTTTGAAAAACAATGGCTAGAAGTTGGAAGGTATATCTTGCTTTAAGACAAGAGGAAAGGGGAAATATTTCAAGATAACTGGAAATAGAAAAGACAGAATTTGATGGGGGTACATTGATGTCCTCTTAAAGGATAAAGTCATTAGACTAAGAAAGGGTGTCTAGAGCTTGACAGTGAAGAGAATTAGAAAGTGGAAGAGGGGTTTGGAGATAGTGAGCACCTGACAGTGAACCTCAGATAGAGTTCTTCCTCCTTGCACCACTGCCTTCCCTTGACCACAGCATTGCACACATGGTAAATGCTGCTGACTTGAACATTTTAAAGTATTTCATCATGACAATTTTAAAAAATAATCAATGTGCTGGGTGTTGGTAGTGCACGCCTGTAATCCCAGTACTTGGGAGGCAAAGGCAGGTGGATAACTGAGTTCGGGGCCAGCCTGGCCTACAGAGCAAATTCCAGGACAGCCTCCAAAGCTACATAGAGGAACCCTGTCTCGAAAAACAAACAGAAATCATCAGTGCAATAAGTCACTTGTGTGGCACACGTGTTGCTAGATTTTTATAGCAGAAATTTTAATTTGAGGGGCATATCTCTTATGTAAGTACCTTCTTGAGAAGTTTTTAAAAGATAAATGCAGCTGCTCTCTGCCTTTTCCTCTTTTCTGGCTCATCCATCTGTGGTAGGATATGGGACACTGTATTAAGGATGCCTCTTAGGTAGTTATAATAGAAGTAGAAGTTAGTCAAGGACCTGTCAAAAATTCAGTTAAATACCAGGTTTGAAACACTCAGGAATGCTAAATACTTTAGGTCCTACATGTACAACTTTTAATTTTTATGTTTTGGAAAGGAAAACCAGCATGAGATTTGTCTTTTTTGCTTGATCCCATAACTTGTGCTCTATTCCCAATCTTTAAACTTGACTCTTAGTAAAACGTCCTGTTTAGTCTGAGGCTTTGACTCTTGCTGACTACAGATGCCTACTTGCCTACCGGTCAGACATTGACTCCTTTCTTTTACTGCAAAGTTAAAGTTTTACATAATTAAACTTTATTTATATAGAATAGCACTCTAAAATTTGATGTGTGTAATATCAGAAATTTAAAATACATGGTTGTGTCATGAGCTTCAGAGCTGCCATGTAAAAGTAGTCATTTAGCTGGGTGAGTGGGTGTAGCATCCCAGCAGCTCAGTGTAGCTTGTCTATTGGTCTATGTTGATGGCATTAAATGTCAAGACAGTTGCGCCATTTGCTGAAGTTTCAGGTGGGGCCACCTACTCACTGTTCCTAAACACGAATAGAGCTAATTCTTAAAACTGGTCTTTAAGAAATATTTTGAAATTTGTTACAGTTTTCTTTCTCTAACTATCTTAGGCCAGCCGAGCCTCCGAGAAGCTATTTCCATGTCCTGTATAACCAATGGAAGTGGTATAAACAGAAAGCAGAATCACACCAGCTCTGTATCAATAGCAAGAAAAGAAACTCTCTCATCTGCTGCTAAAAGGTACCTGATTGTCATGGGGTGGGAGAGCTGACAGGACACAACTGTGTGTGGTAGATTGGGCTCCCCATGAAAAGAATTATAGATAGATTCCTATGGTAGGCAGGTGCTCATGTCTTGAGTTCCTTAACTATGGTGAGACACCTGAGTCCATCGTACTCACAATACCACACTGCTGATTTTTATACAGAAAGCTTTTGGTTCTTACTGAGGAGACAGAGCCTTTTCATGTCTGGAATCTTGTTGTTATTACTGTTTTTGTTTTTCAGCAAGAAAAATGTTGATACATTTAATGACGTTATTTAAGTAGATATTCCTAACCAAGTGACATTTGATAAATTTTAAAAGCAAAATAGACTCTTTAATATAGATCTACCTTGGGGGGGGGTTAAAGGTTATTATGACTTTTTCTTTAGAAAAAAAAATCAGAAAACTGAGGCTTACTTCAAAGTATTTTAGTAGTGGCGTGTGGCCGTCCACATGTTCAGGGCTGGTAGAGGCAAGAGGATGCTGGAGTTTCTGTGTTATAAACGTTCCAGGGCATTACAGACTTGAATTCCATGGGCTCGTGCTCATGTTAACTCAGTATAATTCACTGTCCCAATGACAGGCTTAAGTGACATTTGCCTACCCACACAGAGCAGATCATGTTGTTTGATAGTGCACAAAGGTTTAAAAAGTAGAAGGATGTATGCTGACAGAAAGAAGCACTTGCTTCAGCAAGCTAATGCCAGTGACTGAGGTTCATAGTGTGGAATTACAGGTGTTTCACCAAGCAGGCGGCTACAAGGATGAAGAAATAACAAGACCTTCAGTTCTTTAAAAATTCCTTCCAGAATGTAATGTCATTACTGAATCTAGATTTTTTTTTCCCCTTTCAGAGAGTGCTAAAATTATCTCTGCTTCATTTTCAGGAGAAAACATTGTAATAAAACATTTGTAGTAGAAATTTATAATATTATTATTCAAGATTGTCTAATTTTTATTTCATTGGTATGTTTTGCCCTCTGGTGAACACATCATGCAGTGCCCACTAGAAGAGGATTTGGGATCCCCTGGAACTGGAGTTGCTGGTAATTGTGAGCTGCCATGTGGGTGCTGAGAACCAAACCCAGGTCTTGTGCAAGAGTAGCAAGGGTTCTTAACTGCTGAGCCATCTCTCCAGCCCTTATTACATAATTTTTTAATAAACATCCAATTTTTATTCAGTAACGGTTTAGTTTTAGCTGGTTTTGTTAGCTAGCTGCTGCGCTGTTGCATTGTAGTGATCAGCACAATAGGAAAAGGTGATCTAGGACCCAAACTTGGTTTTGTTCTTTACTGTTCAGAGGAACTAGATTTTGCTTTTAAGTAACCCAAAAGGAAGATTGCTTTTAAGCATAAAGAATAGTTTGAAGACCAATACAAAAGAAGTGACATCTAATTCAGGCCCTGTCTCTCCCTCCTTTTTTGTGTGATATATGAATGTGTGTATACATACAGGTATCTGTGGAGGCCACAGGTTGATGATGAACGGTCATCATTCCTTACCTTAGTTTTTGAGACCTCTCACGGAACCTGTAGTTTGCAATTTTGCTTAGATAGGATAGCTCCCAGGCCCCCAGGAATCTATGTGTCCCTGCCTCCAGTGCTGGAGTCCTCCCTCATCCCCCACTCCCCACCCCCCATCCCACCACGGGTGCTGAGTTCCCAGTGAACACTGCCATGCTTGCCTTTTCTGTGGGAGCTGGAGATCCAAACTCAGATCCTCACCCTTAACACAGTGAGCATGTTACCACTGATCATCTCCAGGCCTACCTTTCTAATTTTAAGGTTTGGTCTGATATTTTCTGGTAAGGATGTTTTTCCTAGCACACATTTCTTTAAAAACCAAACGGAGTCAGCAATCAATGGCTGGTGCAAAGGTATCAGGACTGAGTCAGATTCAGAAGTGTCAGGATCTAAAAGTTATTACTGTGTTTCCAATTGTTACAGTGTGACAGTGGAGCTGTATAGACTGTATAGACAATAAGACATTCATGCCTTATAAAATGTAAATGTCTTTGCTTAAGCACTGTAGAGCAAAGCATTTATGGCTTTCTACCCTTTCAACATTGGAATGCAAGCCTTGAGTCCTCCCTTTTCAGCACTGCTCATCAGTGCAGCTGAGAACTTGTGTCCAACTGCAAAGTCATAAAGGTTGTACATAAGCATGTTAGGTATTTTAACTTAAAACACATCAATATTTGGTCGTCTGTCAAGACAGTCTTCCTTCCCTCTTTCAAAGGATGTATTTCTGATCAAATTTGTTGACTGTCTTACATACCTAGAAGTAACTTTGTAATTCTTGGTTTAAAGGCAGAATAAGAAATGTAAAACTCTGGCAAAACAATACATTAGAACTTCTTTTTCTGTGACTTTAAAAATCAGTTCACATTCAATTAACTTTAATTTTTTTGGTTTTTATTTTCATTTTTGGTTTTTGTTTATTTTCTTTTGTTTTTATCAAGACATGATTTCTCTGTGAAACAATCTTAGCTGTCCTGTAGACCAGGCTGGCCTCGGACTCTCAGAGATCCGCCTGCCTTTGCCTCCTGAGTGCGCCAGCATGCTTAGGCGTCTTAAAGCATTTTTTTTTTTTAATTACGTGTATATGTGTGTTGGTATGTACATTTGTGTTCGGGTTCATTGAATCCTCCTGGAGCTGGAGTGGTGGTTTAAACCAGCTGACATGGATGCTAAGAATTGAACTCTGGTCCTCTAGAAGAGCATCGGGCACTCTTAACAGTTGCGCCATCTCTCTAGCCCCTCACAACGTTTTTAGTAACGTTTTTAATCTTTCTAAAGCATAAAATTTGGTTTTCACAGAACTACATTTTCTTTTCAGCCTTTTTTAATTAAAACAACTTATCATTAATAGGTTTGTAATAAACAATACATTTTTAGTAAATTTAAAACTCTTGATGGGGGCTCTGGGTGTAGCTCATGAGCCCCTGAATTAATGCTCAGTACCACAGCCCACCCTTCCCTTCTCCCGATACAGAGAAACCTCAATTGACAGGTGCAAAGGAACCCAGGACTAGTCTGGGTTAAATATGAGCAGCTCCTGTGTCATCATCAGTTTCTTCACAGGGAATGCAAAGGTCCTTCCAACTTTGACATCAGTTAAAGTTAGTTAAGGCAGCTTCTATAGCCCCACTGAAATCTACCAAAATCACACAATCCATTAGAGGTTACTTGTGTCCAAAAGGGCAATCTTCATAGGATGGATTATTACCTTAAATTGTTAAAAAATTCTTTATTAAAAATTATATTTCCTTATTGAGTAAAAACAATATAATTGTATTAGGTAATATGATTTAGGGTCTTGAATTATAATCACTATTACTTTGATTTTAAAGTTGGTTTAAATATGTGTTGTTCCATGTTATACTTTATTTTACAGTGGTACAGAAAAAAAGAAAGAAAAGCCACAAGGACAGAGAGAAAAAAAAGAGGAATCTCATTCTAATGATCAGAGCCCACAAATGCGAGCATCACCTTCTCCCCAGCCCTCTTCACAGCCTCTCCAAATAAACAGACAAACTCCAGAGAGCAAGAGCTCCGCTCCCACCAAAAGGTTCTAACCATCCCCAAGTACAGCGCTAGGGACCGGTTGTAAAGATACCTAAATTCTGTGACTTGGGAAGTGTTGGCTATCCATGGACTCCAAGAGAAAGCTTCTTCATTGTTATAATCTGTGTTTTAGAACACCAGGAAAAAAAGATATAGAACCATAAGTTTTCAGTTACAACTGGCAAAGGAGCTAAGTTACAAACAATTTGGTAAAAGGAAAAAGGTATAAACAACGCAAACAGTATTTTTATAATACAGCTGTAGACTATTTTAATTTTTTATGTAGCTGTGTATAAATTTATAGCCATGGATAGAAATTGCCATGTTAATTGCCCTCACTACATTTTGGCATCATTACAACCTTAACCTGCAAGGCCCTTTAAACAAAAGATTCCTGTGGCTGTGCCTCAGTTTCAGCTTTGGGTCTTGGGAGGATAAAGTCTTGCTTGAGTATGGAAATGAATTCATTTCACCTGGTCTTTTCTATGCTAAAGGCTTGCTTGAGAGCTTTTCTCTGTCCATAATAATTAATGTTTTAATGTGATGAGATGGGGAGAAGGGAAAAATATTTCTAACAAATGTGTGTGAGCCTAAGTTAGGAGTGTGGATCTGCATGCTGGGGCTCACTGATGCAGCTGCCTTGTAATAAGTATTGATACCAGTTTAATTAAATCAGTGCATTTAATCAGGTGGTGGTGGTGCATGCTTTTAATCCCAGCACTTGTGAAGCAGAGGCAGGCGGATTTCTGAGTTCAAGGTCAGCCTGGTCTACGAAGCAAGGTCCAGAACAGCCAGGACTGTTTCACAGAGAAACCCTTTCTTGATGAAGGGAGGAAGTTGGGGACTATTTAGAATGACAAGCCATGGTGGCGCATGCCTTTAGCCCAGCACTTGGGAGGCAGAGGCAGGCAGTTCTCTGAGTTCAAGGCCAGCCTGGTCTACAGAGTGAGTTCTAGGACAGTCAAAAGTGATACACAGAGAAACCTTTATCTCAAAAAAAAAAAAAAAGAAAGAAAAGAAAAGAAAAAAAGAAAGAAAGGAAAGACTCAAGCTTTAGCATTTAATTATCATTGTACTGCAGAAGAATTTGAGGAAACTATCCCCAGAACTGGTAAGAACTTCAGTAAAGTAAATGACAATCACTCATAAAAGATTTGCAGTATACTTCTCTTTAGCTACTTTAATATTTTGCTTTAAGTCTGTCATGGAAATTTGAAAACCAAAATGTTCTTCACTTGATTAATGCATGTTTACCATTTACAGAATGCTTTGTCTCTGTGCCTGACGCAAGTTCTCCTGCTGTCTAAGGCTGTGTGGTTCCTCTGCCTGGGCTCCTGTGGAGTTCTTGAGGGTGGCTTTATTAACGAACGTTATGCAACTTGGTGCTGTGTGCAGGGGAGGGCGGCTCATGTTCTCTTTAAGGTTCTGATTAACTTGGTGTCTCTTCGTCCCAGAGTCTCCTTTTCAGCTTACTATCTCCTGAAAATGTGCTTTTGCCCTTCCTTCTCAGTTGTTCTTGGGATGCACTATTGCTGAAGTACTGAAGACTGGATGAGTTACAGGGTGGTTAGCAATGCATCCAGAAAGTCACTTACAAACCATAAAATTTCAGTTACAAATACAGGGAATCCTCAAAGATAACACCAATAACTTTTAATTTTATCACATACTGTTTATTTCTGATCCCAGATAAAAGTCTCTAAAACTGTAAACAAGAGCTTCGGTTTTAGCGTCACAGTTTATTTAGAAATCTTTGCCATGTATAAATTCACCTCACGAACATCATTACATGCAGAATGAAAGGCAAAGTTCATATTTCAGGTTTATAATTCATATTTTATAGCTACACACTATGAGAAATAGTACATAGAGATGTAAGCATTTTCTTCTGTTAACAGCAGATCGTAGAGATTTCTTTTTCCAGATAATGTTTGTTCTGGTGGGTCTTTTGAATGATACTGTGACATAGACTTCCTAATTGCCTTGTTTAACTCCTCCACTCATCCAGCCAGATCTTTCAGCTAATCCTTCTCACGCCTGGACTCACTCTAAGAGTGCTAATCTCGTCTTTCATTTTCTACTTACCTGTCAGTTACATGTTGTTACTCAGAACGTTCCTCTAAGAAGTTAATGTGTTTTTTCTAGCATAAAGCGTCCACCAACAGCTGAAAAGTCACATAACTCATGGGAAAATTCAGATGATAGTCGTAATAAATTATTGAAAACCGTTTCAACATCAAAACTAATATCAAAGGTTATAAAAAGTGCAGACAAGTAAGTTAAGTCATATTTGTCATGTATGAAAATTAATAATTGTGTCTCTGTACTGTTGTTTGTAAGGACATACCTGATTTGAATTTTTAATCTATTTTAGTTATGTTTTTTCTTGCCAGTGTATTCTTTTTAAGTCTTCTTGGAAAAGCATTGTCTTCCTATTAATTTTTCTCCAGTATCTCCATCTTACAAGATTTGAGTATTATACTCTTTCTGTGTGCTTTCACTGTTTCGATGATTTTGTGTGGTATTTGTTGTTTTATGAAATAATATATGTTAGTAGTTGAGACCACTGAGAAACTGAAAAAAAAAAAAAAAAAAAAACTACTCCTGAATTTTACTTGTCTAAATTTATCTAGGGGATGGGCTAAGCATCAAAAAATTTAAATGCTTTCAGATGATTCTAGTGCTGAGCCATATAAAATAAATGTGTTCTTTGCATTCTCTCTTTTAGACACAAAGATGTCATCATCAATCAAGGTAAATTAAGTTCTTTTTAGAAATAGTTGCCTTTTTTTACATCATTCTAACTATTGCTGATTCATAAGAATGACTTAATTTTATTCAGTATAATTTATTAGTTCATAGTAACCAAAGAGACATATTACTGTAGTCATTTAAGAAAATGCTTGGTTTTTATTGTACGATATGTCATTTTTGTCTCAACCAGCAAAAATGTCAACCCGTGAAAAAAACAGCCAAGGTAAGGATAAGCTCTACAGTGGGTGCCCTCTGAGCCCGCCCCTCCCTGGATCTCTTATTTGGCTTTTCAGCATAACTACTCTCAAAAGGGCTTTCCTCTTAACAAAGGAAATACCATGGTAATTTGAACTAGTAAGTGTAACTGCTTTAAAAAAAAAAAAATATGTCTTCTGTGAGATCTGAAGAATTAAGGTGAACAGTAAAAATAAATATAGCAACATGAAGAAATCAAAAAATATATTTCCTCTAAAAATTATACTTAGAAAAGCCATTTAAAAGATTGATACATTTTTTAACTCAATTTCCTGTCTTGCCAACTTGGTTGCAAATAAACACTTATTTCTTGCTGCTAAGACTCATATATAATGAGTCTAGCAAAGCATTTCCTCTTAAATTTTTCCCTTTTATTAATTGTTATTTCTGGCTACTTGCTGTTGGCTTGTTCTGACCAAAGCAGGATAACTTTGTATATTTAATTTAATTGCAAAGTAGGTAAGTTTTATGTGTCAGTTTTACACTCTCTTCAAATTGCTTGCAAATTTAATTGAAGCATGCTGTTCTAGATGAAACCGTGCCTTCTCTGTGCATGCTTTTGCAGCTCATTCCTGTATCATAGCTATCTTTGTTTTATAGTTTGTTAGTTGGCTGAAATGTACGCAAATTTTTTGTTAGCAATTTACTTAATTCCTGTGAATCTTTATTTTCTTTTACTCTAGTAAGGAAAATATATTTATTGGTTATATTCTTTAGGTCATAAGTTTTTACACAGAAATTATAAATAAGGTTGAAGTGTGATAGCCTTCTTCAGTTAGATCTGAATGTTTTGCATTATAATAGTGTAGATTACATAATGGTTGACATACCCAAGAAAAATACTGAATTTATTTAAGACACAATGTTGACTCTAGCCAAACTTTGTTAAGTAGAGAGGCACTGATACACAGAAAGAGCAGTGACTGTGGACAGCCATGGGTTCCAGTTTTTCTGCCAAATGACAGTGTCCTCGAATGGTGTTCTGACCTGAGAATGGTAATCACAGCAAAGCTTACTTCACATAACTCCTAAGGCAGAACAGCTTATACACGAGTCCTTTAAAACTAGGAAACACTGTGTCCAGAGAGGTGCACTGTTACTAAATGTTCTAGAGAAGCACTCCAATCTAACAGAATCCTCATAGGGATTGAGAAAGGGCTGTCTTTCTTTAGTATGTTTGGAAGGGAAGGTGGAACTTGACATCAGTTTGTAAAAGTGCTTTGTATTTTGGCACACTCTTCAGAGTCATTCAGGTATATAAGTGAAGTAATGTCGATATATGGGTGGTCATGGTGCAGCAGAGCAGCATGGACAGGCTGGCCAGCGCTTGGGAGAAGGTGGAGAGGAAAAAAGGAAGTTGAGTTTCATTATAAGAATTTTGTCTTAAAAAACAGATTTTCCAGCCAGGTGGTAGTAGGCACACACCTTTAGTCCCAGTATTCAGGAAGCATAGGCAGGCAGATCTCTGAGTTCAAGGCCAGCCTGGTCTACAAAAGCAAGTGCCAGGATAGGCTCCAAAGCTACAGAGTAACCCTGTCTCAAACCCCCCCTCCCAAAAAAAAAAGTTTCCCAAGGATGGGAATTGATGACATTACATGACCATACTGAACCATTCAATTGTACACAATTTGAATACATTTCTTTGCTCTTTAATTAGCTTATTCTTCCTGGAGCGTAATCACTAGAATGGACCTGTGAAGACTCTGGTTCAGTCAGCTACACAGTTCTGTCCTGACTGAGTCTGAAAAAGAAATTGATAGATTCTAAATGGTTGGACAGGTGTAGAGTGTGAGGTAGGGAGTAGAGGCGTTGTGGAGACTAGCATGAGAGAACTAGGTAAGTGACTCTGCTGGAAGACCAGACACTGGAGAAGTGTGTGTGTGTGTGTGTGTGTGTGTGTGTGTGTGTGTGTGTGTGTGTGTGCAAAAGAGGTAGAATGTAATTTGAGCAGTTACACTTGAATTGTCTTTAAAACTGAGAAAATAAACCCTTTAACCCCCATGTGGGTGTGCAGCTTAGATATGTAAACTCTGGTTCCTGGAGTCTAGAAATTGACATTGAGCTGATTATTTCATTTCCCCAAGTCTTTGTTTTTGTGATATAATTGCAACGTGGGGGGGGGCACGCCAATGACAATAGTTACTGGTTCTAACCCATCTGTTTTGCCATGGGAAGAAACCTGTTTACATCTGATACATTTAGGTGAACAGTAGCAGACAGGATTACCTAGAACCCTGTGCCTTCAGGCCTAGTGAAATCAGAGGAAAGCTTGGAGAGGCTGCAGGTCCTGGTCAGCAGTTAAACACAGAATGCAGGAGCCCTGGTTGGAAGCAGTTGGCAGCGGGAAAGGATATACATGGGCAAGCTGTAGGGAAAGACTTAGGGCTTTAGATACCTAAGCCCTTTTTACTCTCTGTCTTCCTGGTTCTGGATGCTGTTATAGTCACAGCAGAAGTAAAGTGCTGGCAGCAGTTAGAACTTGATTAAGTTTTCCTATAGGGCTGTTTATTATCATATGTGGCAGCTAGGACAATACTTTTTGGTTTAGTTTCTTTGTTGTGCAATGCTGGGGATCAAACCCAGGACCTATCACCATAGGCAAGCTCTATGCTTTGTCTAAATGTGACTGCAGCTTTGCGTGCCCTGAGCTGCCTCCCCAGCCCTGAAGAAATTTCTCTGAGCTGACTGGGAGATTGTAAGTTAGGGCCAAATGAGACTCCAGTTCCCAAAACTCCAAAAGGCAGGCAGTCCATTGAACTCAGTCTGGACCACAGAATTTCTGGTGGTTAGAGGAAAGCCAACATTCCGCAGGAACTTAGAAACCAGCTGCCATCTACCAACAGGAATAATTTCCCTTATGTCTGGCAGAAGAGACACATGGTTACCTGTGGCGCCTGTCAGGATCTCAAAGCCCATGCTGGTAATAGAAGCACCTGTTAACATATTTCAAAGTCCATGCTAGCATCCTAGGCCATCTCACCTCTTCCCCTGCCATATACCCCCCCACACCCCCCACAGTTCCTCTTCCATATAACCAACCCCTGAGTTCTTGCTGTGTTCTCTCTCTCTACTCTGCTCTTGTTTCACTGTGCTTTCTCTATCCCCTGGTGCTTTCTCTATCCCCTGCCATTCTTCCCTCTCTAAAGATATTCCTGATCGTGCACAGTCCGCTGTCACTTCAGTCTGTTCCCTTCTATCTTGCTATGGACTCTGGCTTTTCTTTCTCTCATATCTGCAATACAAACCTTCCCCTTGCCTGACAGTGGTGGTGTACACCTTTAGTCCCAGCACTCAGGAGGCAGAGGCAGGCAGATCTCTGTGAATCCAAGGCCAACCTGGTCTACAAAGTGAGTTCCAGGACAACCAGGACTGTTATACAGAGAAATCCTGTCTCAAAAACCAGCCTCCCCCCCAAAAAAAAAAAAATCGAGAGAGGGGTCTGGAGAGATGTCTCGGCAGTTAAAAGCACTGGCTGTTCTCCCTGAGGACCTGGGTTCAATTCCCAGCACCCACATGGCAGCTCAAACTGTTTGTAACTCCAGCCTCAGGGGATCTGACACCCTTACACCAATGCACATAAAATAAATTTAAATGAATTACTTTTAAAAAATCAAGAGAGAAAGTTGTATCATAGATGAATACCCATTAGAGTAGATTGACATCTCCCTCCCCCAAGAGGCAGGTACACACATCAAGATGATTCTAGAAGGGAGATGTTTGCAGCTGGTAACCATTGAGTTGCTGTCAGAGTTCAGCTATGCTAAAAATCATCAGGAAGCAAGGCCCACTCCTAGATTCAGAAGTGATACTGACATGCATCATGTGGTGGTAAAGCGTGGTGTGGGAGGTCTTGCCCTGTTAGATCAAACCCCAAGGCTGAGCATACTGAGTAACAATCATAAAAATAACTTGAACTTCTCACCCACAATAAGCACACCTTCTTAATCTGAAGCGATGGCTACAGGCAGACACTCCCCAGATAATCTCTCTCCCTCTTCCTAGTTACAGTATATAAACTACTGAATCTTGAACACTGGATTATACACTATTTTTCTTAGATAACTTGGATCATTGATAGAGATTTTTAAGATCACATCAGCCTCTGGTTGGTGATGATCACACTTTCCATTTTGTGCCAGACAAGTTAGTAAACACTAGACATTCCTGTGCCATGTACCCAGCCTCGTTTCCTTACCTTTAGCTTTGGCAACCATTTCACAGCAGTGACTTAACCTGCATGTGGGTCATTAGGAGGCTGGGGCAGTGATAGGTCAGGTTTGTGGTTTTATTTATTTGTTTGCTTGTTTGTTTAAAGCTTTTGGGGGTAATGAACAGTCCCATCTGTGGGTTTTTTTCCTGCTTTTTTGTTGTTGTTTTGAGAGGTTTCAGTATGCAATCCTAGCTGACCTAGAACTCATTTACGTAGATGAAGTTGTCCTTGCATTTGTGGGTAATCCTCCTGCCTCTGCTTCCTGAATGGTAGGATTGCAGGCATGAGCCACCATGCCCAGCTCCTACCTGTTTCATGGAGCATTGTTTCCCTTGGTTAGCGATATATAATCAATATTGATTTGATTCTGGCTTGTCTCTTAAAAATATTTTAGTTTTAGACTATTGAAGATCTTATAAACAACTATGAATTTATATAAACAAAAGCTGTTTAAGAACCTGTGGTGCAAGTAAGAAAAGGAAAACTGTTTCTCATTGTCTAGAAATTGTTTACAGTTGAATTTGATTGTTGATATGAGGCTAATTGAAGGTGTGAGAAGCGGCCCTGCTCACTGCTGTGTAGCATAGCTCTTCCTGCTTCTCATTTTAAGTTGAAAAAATGTGAGTCTTTTTCTTATGATATATTCCAAGATAGTTGTTTTGGTTTACCATGGTAAGAAGATTTGACATGAGATCTGCTGTCTTAAATCATGTAATTTAGTTAATATTGACTAGTGTAACATTGTATAATACTTAGCTTTCATTCTTCTTGCTTGGCTGAACTGTCACTCGATCCTCATTTCTCTCTCCTTGTAACCCCTGGTTAACTGTCACTCCCCTATTCATGAGTTTGACTAGCTGTCTTTCTGTGACTGGCTTAGTTGTGTCTATACTACATCTTTATCTGGAAGTGGCCGTTGAGGTTGTTTGCAGATCTGGGCTGTTAAGAACAGTGCTGCCATGAACATGAAAGTTAGTGTTGCTATCTGATCAAGGTCTTGATTTACATTATTTTGGAAAATATCTAGTTGTAGAATTGCCAGATGATGCAATAATTTTATTTGAATTGTCTCTGAAGAGCTCCACCCTGCTTTTCCACTGAGGCAGCATCATTTGGCATCCCTAGCAGCAGCATATACAATGATCCTGTTTTTCCATACCCTTGTCTATACTTTGTTTGGTTTTGCTAATCATTCTAACAGGTCTGGAATGACATAACAGTGGTTTTCATTCACATTTCCCTGCATTACTGCTATTGATGCTGCATATTTTTTCAAATTACCTGTTGACCATTTCCTCCCTCCCTCCCTCCCTCCCTCCCTCCCTCCCTCTCTCCCTTCCTTCCTTCCAGAAATGTTTTCAAAGTACTTAACCAATTTTAAAATGCATTTTAGGTGCAGTTGCCTTGGTTTGTTTCTTCCTATTGAGCTGGCATCCATTATATGTTTAGAGATTAACCACCATGTTATATACATAGTTTGCAGACAATTCTCCTATTCCATGCTTTGTGTTCATGTTGTCAGTTGTGGCAGAGGCTCTTTAATCTGCAAGGTCTTGACTTTTAGGTTGGTTAGTGTGATAGACATGATTATTGTATGCCTAAGAAACCTTGGTCACACAGGTTTGCATTTTTTTACTTGAGCTTTTCTGGCTTCTTGTAGAAATATGTCAGCTTAAACAGCTAAATTACATTTGCATGAAAACAGTTACTCTCAACTAAACAAATGGCCACTTTGTTATGATTTTTTGCTTCTATTGTTTTGGACTAGATATTTATAGTATTCCTTTGTTTTCTACTTATATTGTATAATATGTTCAAAAAACATACAATGGAAAACTTAAACAGCTTGTCATGTTTTCATTGTATCAATAATCTGTTTTCCTACAGTTACATGGAAAATACATGTGATTTAATTTTGTCTTATGTTTCAACAGAAGGAGAATATATTAAAATGTTTATGCGAGGTCGGCCAATTACCATGTTCATTCCTTCGAATGTTGACAACTATGATGACATCAGAACAGAACTGCCTCCCGAAAAGCTCAAACTGGAGTGGGTGTATCCTTCCCAAACAAGAGAACAAACCTACTTGATTTGTCCTAGTTTAATAAAAACTTCTTTAGCTAATTAATCGAATTGTCCTTAAACCAGGAAGAAAACATAATAGACTTAAGAACCACTTGCAAAATCAAAAAGGAGACAGTATCTCTCAAACATGTCAGATATATTTTGCTAATAGCAATATAATATCACCAGCATTAATGCAGACCAGACAGGACAGCAGTGTTTTATGAGCTCAGCAGCAGGTAGTGGAGGTGCGGCAGGAAAGGTTCCCGACTGCAGCTGGAAGGATAGTATCCAAGTGCTGGCTCTGCCCTTGCCCCTGTCAATCTTACCATCCTTACAGAAAGAGGTAACACTGGCCTCATGGGGCTGCTCTAAGAATTATAAGCACTGCTTTGGTATTTTGATTTTGTTTTTTAGTTTTTCAAGACAGGGTTTCTATGTGGCTTTTGGAGGCTGTCCTGGAACTAGCTCTTGTAGACCAGGCTGGTCTCCAACTCACAGAGATCCACCTGCCTCTGCCTCCCGAGTGCTGGGATTAAAGGTGTGTGCCACCAACGCCCAGCCTATGAAGTGATACATTTGATCAAACCTTATTTTGTTTTTTTTTTTGTTATTTTGAGACATGCGGTCTTGCTATGTCTCCCTACCTAACCTTGTACTCACTATGTAGTCTAGGGTTGCCTTAACATCCCAAGAGTCTTCCTGACTCAGCTTCCCAAGAGATGGGGTCACAAACATGTACCACAGCATTACTACCGTGGATTATTCCAAGAGCTCCAGTATACCGTAACCACGCCTACTAAGGAGTAGCTGCAGGTGTCTCCCTACAAGGGCGATGTAGTTCTGAAATTGACTGCTTCTCTGCTAGGCTTAGACACACGTGGTAGTTTAATATTCAACGTTCCTGGCTCCACCTGGAGAGATTCATTATGGCCTCTAAGAAACTCAGTGAAGCAGAAGGAGGCTAGTCATATAAACTGAGTTCTCTGTCTCTGTTCTTCTGTGTTCCCCTCCCCATACATTGGGCAGAATTAAATTAGCTTGGAGAAGCTCACCAATCCTGGAATTTGGCTCAGGTTTTTATTGTCATTGTGTACAGCAAACACTGCTTAACTGACCTTATTCATCATTTTAGGCCCAGCATTCAGGTTACCTTCCTGGGTGAGTCTTAGGTCACTCTTTCTCCTTATGCAGGATCTCCATGTATGCTTCTTCCTAGCATACTGTCACCACAGACCCCACATTTCATCTGTTCAGAGCTATGTGTTTAGTATATACTAGGAACTTTGTCCAAGGAATGTGGACATTAAGACAAATAGAGTAAAAGGCTCAGGGTTGGGCAGGAAAGGGGATGTGAGTGTTCTGGCTCTGACCCAGTTCTCTCCTCGTTGTGCCTCCATTGGCTCCCTAAACTCCCTTCAGTATTTGCTTTAAAACCTTGACACTTTGCTTAAGCTATGGTTATCGAGGGAAGGACTGTCGAGCGAATGTTTACCTGCTTCCTACGGGGGAGATAGTTTATTTCATTGCATCAATAGTGGTACTATTTAATTATGAGGAGAGGACTCAGCGGCACTACCTGGGTCATACAGACTGTGTGAAATGGTTGGTATCAATTACAGTTTGTCAATTTTGTGCTTGCCTGCCTTCATCATAATCGTTGTTGTTGTTACTGTCATTATTATTTGTGTTGTATTGAAAGTTCACCATTATAAAGCTTAGAATATAAGTAAGGATGCTATTTATTCAATGGAATATGTTTCCTAAAGTAAAAAGGTCACATTCTTCATGTGTGCAGCCAACAGTGATAAAATACACTGATCTCAACCTCAGTGGAATCCCTCTGCTGCCTTAGGTCTGTGGTTGTTTCTATCTGGCCTGTCATATGAAATCCATGGAGAAAGACTGGACTTCGTGACTTTCTGGAAGTAGCTTTTCATTGGTTGCTTAGTGTTTATTGAGGGTTTGTTCTGTGTGATAAATTTTGGGCCTCAGGTTTTCCTTTCAGAGGGAGAGAAGCCATAAGCTGAGTCAGATCCTAAGTAACCCCTGTGGTGTCAAACTACAACTGCAGAGCTTTTGAAATACTTTAGGCTTTGGGTTTTACTCAATGAATGTTGCTATTCTTTAAATTCAGTCATTTGTTACCAGAATCCATTGTCTTCTCACATTTCAAAGCTTAGCTTCTTTATTCTGTCCTGACAAGTAGATAAAAATCTCTCGTGTATGAATGCTGGGAGAGTACATCGATGATATTCAGCACAGATAAAACAGTTCCTACTTGCGCAATTCTACGCAAAAGTGTTGCAGCATAAGCGTTAGAAGAAGCTGCATGCTAGTGACCACGTGTCAGAGCATCGTGGTTAATGCAGCAGGGAGGCCCTGGCTTAGAAACAGGAAAGGAGGATGGACCACTGCAAAAAACAGGCAGGCAAAATACTATTGTGGCTTCCACATATGTGAAGTATTCCCTACAGTTCCCAATGAAAAGAAGCTGTAGTGGTTACCTTTAAGTGATGTCATAGGCTGGGGTAAGGGAAAGGTAGAGACAGTCTTACCAGTTGGTGCAGGTGATAAATAGTTTTTGATATTAGAGCCATACAAATGTGTTAACTAGTACAGAAATTACAATCTAAAATTGTTGTTTGAAAAGAAAGAGCAGAGTTAAATACAGCAAAATTTTAATGTAATAGAGTTTCAGGGTTTTTTTTAAACGATTTCTATTTTCATTTTATGTGCATTAGTGTACATCTCTGCATGTATGAGTGTGCTGAATCCCCTGGAGCTGGAGTTAACAACAGTTGTTAGCTGCCATGTGGGTATTGGGAATTGAACCTGAGTCCTCTGGAAGAGCAGTCAGTGCTCTTAACCCTGAGCCATCTCTCCAGAGTTTTAGTTTTAATGTCTAGATGCAGGATATAAACTGTTTAAGAAGAAAAGAAATTGCAGAAATATTGGTAAACTCTAACCTCCTTAGAAATGAAAACCTGATACCATTTATGCCAAATTATTGAAACATTTCAAAAGATACAATTTATTTTATTTTATATGTATTGGTGTTTTGCCTGCATGTACGTGTGTCTGTGTGATGGTGTCAGATCTTGGAGTTCCAGACAGTTGTGAACTGCCATATGAGTGCTAGGAATTGAACCTGGGCCCTCTAGAAGAATCTGGAAGAGCAGTCACTGATCTTAACCACTCATCCATCTCTCCAGCCCCAAGATACAATTCTTAATATGGAGGCGTTATAGAACTTTGGAATGTTTTTATCTCCTGTGACAAATTCATACAATCTTCTGGAAAATAATTAGTAACATGTAGCAGGGAACAAAAATTCTTTCCAGTTGAGCTGACTCCTTGATTGGAAGATGGCTCAGCAAGTGAGCCAAACTGACAAGCCGAGTCCCATCCCTCGAACCTACACGGTAGGAGAGCACTAACCCCGACAGTCTACCTCTGACCTCCATGCTCTCTCCCTGTAAATAAACGTAATTTTTATATATGCATTCTAGAGGGGGATAGGGGACAGTGATTTCTGTGAACAGGAGCTAGAGAAAAGGTTCAGTGGTTAAAGCTTGCTGTGGAAATACGGGCCCTGAGTTAGAATCCCTTACCTCATGTAAAAGCTGGGCAAAATACATGTCTGTAACTCCAGCGCTGTAGGGTGGAGACAGACGACAGATCTCAGGCTGGCTATCCAGCCAGTGAGTTAGTTCATGAGCAGTGGTGAATGTGGCCTATGCACATGTAGGCGTTCGCGCAAAGGCACTTGCCACAGAACCTGACAATGTGATCCATATGGTGGGAGAAAACCAATTTCCACAAGTTGTCCTCTGATCTCTGTTGCATTTGTGCACTTACATAAACGCACAGGCTTGCATGCACAAATAAATAAATGTAATAAAAATTTAAATTGCAAATATTAAATGAAGTGGTGAGAGATAGAGGAAGACACCCAACGTTGTCCTCTGGCCTCCACAGGCAGATTTGCACACCTACATAGTCGTGCATACACACAGATTTTATGGTTAATTAGAGTACATTTGCTATAATATTTACCATTTTCATTTAGAACTCATCGCCCTGGGGTAGATTTACAAAGATAGATTTAGGAACTAGCTATAGGTTAGTAGAATTATATTGGAAAACATTTACTGCTGCTTTTTGTTTGTAGAAATGCCTAAAATGCTAAAGAATTAAGTTAGTAAATGTATAAGGATTGTGTAGAGTTGACGCTATGCTTATATTTTAATAGATAAAAATTACAGTGGGCCACACTTCACTTCATAAAACCATGTAAAAATGTCTGCCTAAGTACAGCGACTAAAAAGGAATTTGAACAGATGAAAATGGTTTCCATTTTTACTATATCAAATGATGAACCAAATATCTTCTATAAATTCAGTGTTCCTGTAATTTATTAAGATTAATAAAGAAAAATAGAAGTTTGCTTAATTTACTAATAAAAATAAATGGGCCAGGTGTGTTTTTAAGACTGAAAACTATTTGCTTAAAAAAAAATGATATAAAGGTACATTCATGCTGTTTCATGTTTCTGTATTTAAAACTATTGTTAATGCTGCCTTTTAGCCTGGCTATACATCCTGACAAGATTAGGATCGCAACTGGACAGATAGCTGGAGTGGACAAGGATGGAAGGGTGAGCAGCCAGTTTCATGTACCTACTCCTGCTGTTAGAAGGACTGACTCGTTGTAGCCACAGCTTATTGTTATTTGCTTAAAGTTTGTATGAAAGGATCTCTAGTATTAGGGGGAAATATTAAAATATAAGGAAGTCTTAAAATGTAGGGTTTAAACTACTGTTTCCTTCTATATAAGAAGTATTCTTCCTAGGGAAACTGTCTGCATGTGAAAATAGCAGGACTCTTGCTTCTTAAACTAAATTCCTCCTAATTGATGGGCCCTCTTGATTCTCTCCCTTAGGAAGGCAGCTGATCTCTTAGAGTGTCAGTTACTCTTTGGTTTCACTAGATTGATATATTTATTTCTGAGATCAGCAGTGGATTGATGATTATGTATACAGTGCCTGCATGTATGTCTGCACACGGGGCACCAGATCTCATTATAGATGGTTGTGAGCCACCATGTGGTTGCTGGGAATTGAACTCTTGACCTCTGGAAGAGCAACCAGTGCTCTTAAACTATCTCTCCAGCCCGTGGATTAATGATGACTCTATGCACATGATGTTCTCTGGGCTCAGTTTCTATAAAGAAAAGCTACAACTGAGTGGGTTCTATTAGATGACATTGAAAACCCTTCCCAGTTCTGTATTCTGTTAAGGATTGTTTCCATAGAACTTAGTAAACAGTTGTTTTTCTAAAGGTATATCAAGAACAAAAGTAATATTAAAAGTGAAGTATCGGGTGATGGTCACCCACACGTGGTTCCTGTTTCTTGGTGGCCTCAAGCAGAAGGACCACTTGAATTTAAGAGTTTGAGATCAGCCTGGATAAAGTTTTAAGATCGAGTCTCAAAAGAAAAAAAAGTAACCATAGCATGTTAGAATTAGAGTCTGACTCCACCTTCTGGTAGCTGTAAAAGATAGTTATAATCCCTGTGTCTCATCTCCTTATCTTTGGAGTGAGCATTGCAGATTATGAGGACTAAATGGCTTCACATAACACTAAATATCCAAATTATTTGCTGCTATGATCCCTTATTTCCTTAGTATGGGGGAGTACCTATTCAAGATTTTTTGGAGGCTTGTCTAAATTTTATAATTTTTGTCTTACTAAGGTGGCAAAATTGGACTGGGTGTGGTGACGCACACCTGTATTCCCAGCACTCAGGAGGCAAAGTCAGGTGAATCTCTGAGTTTGAGGCCAGCCTGGTCTGCATAGTAAGTTCCAGGACAGCCAGGGCTATATAGAGAAACCCTATCTCAAAACAACAAAAACAAACAAGAAACCAAACAAACAAAAAGCAAATTGCTATGTGGTAGTTGTACATATACCTACTCTTGGTGGTGGTGCACATGTCTGCTGTGTGGTAGTGGTGTACATATTTACTGTGTGGAATGGTGAACATTTATATGCTGTGTGGTAGTGGTATACATATCTACTGTGTGCTAGCGGTGCACATATCTACTTGTGGAGTGGTACACATACCTACTGTGTGCTAGTGGTGCACATACCTGCTCTAATGTCTACATGTGGAGTGGTACACATACCTACTGTGTGCTAGTGGTGCACATACCTGCTTGTGGAGTGGTCCACATATGTACTGTGTGCTAGTGGTGCACATGCCTACTGTGTGGAGTGGTGCACATATCTATACCCACCTAGATAAGCTAGCTCTATCTTCTGTTTTGCAGCCTCTGCAGCCCCATGTCAGGGTGTGGGATTCAGTAAGCCTTTCCACACTGCATGTCATTGGACTTGGAACTTTTGAGCGTGGAGTAGGATGCCTGGATTTTTCAAAGGCAGTAAGTCACAGTTATTTTTTAAAGTAAGCAAACTAAGCCTGAATTAGTTTTGTGTATGTGTATAATCGTGTATCCATCCAAAAAACGAGATGCTAGCAATTTTCAGTATAGCTATTGTTAAATAGCTACTATTGTAGTCTAAGTACAAATTTGGTTTAGGTAGGATCAAGATATACATTTATTTATATTTAATTTGTCTGTCTGAGTCAGTGTTTTATTGCTGTGAAGAGACACCATGACAACTTATATTTTTTAAACCTTGTAATTGGGGTTTGCTTACAGTTTCAGAGGTTTAGTCCATTCTACGTGGCAGGAAGCGTGGAGGCACATAGGCAGGTATGGTAGCTGAGAGTTCTACATCTGGTTCTGCAGGCTGGAGAAAAAAAGAGACTCTGGGTTTGACCTGGGCTTCTGAAACTTAAAGCCCACCCCAGTGGCATACTTCCTCCAACAGGGCCACACCCCCTAATCCTTTCAAATAGTGACACTCCCTGGTGATGAAGCATTCAAATCTGTGAGCCTATTGGGCCATTCTTATTTAAACCGCCACATTGTCTTTGTCCTGAGATAGATGCCAGTGTAGTTGTGGAAAATGGGTAGAGGAATAAAGACATAGTATGGTAGTTTGATATAAGCAATAAGATGCATTTTAATTTCTTTTTGAGTCATAGGAGACATCCATCTTAATAGGAAATTCAGGCATGACCCTTCATTTCTATAAAATATTTTTTGATGTAACATGAGAGAAAGGAAACAATCAGATTTTAGTATTCCCTAAAATCCACGAATTATCTTGGTTCTGAATTGATGATAGTATTAGTTTAATTTTATATGTAGTGAGCTGGAGAAATGGCTCAGTGGTCAAGAGCACTTGCTGCTTTTGCAGAGGACCTGAGTTCAGTCTCCAGGACCCACGTGATGGATGGCTCACAGCCATCTGTAAGTCCAGTTCCAACACATCTGATACTCTCTTCTGGCCTCAGCAGATACCAGATAATCATGTGGAGCACTGGTGCCCACACATGTGTGCGTGCACAAACGTGCGCAGGCAAAACATACACACTTAAAACTTTTAAATTGTGTATAGCAGTGTCATTTAAGCTTTGAGGGTTTATTATGAGTAGAAAGTAAGATGTTGCTCATCTGAACATTTTCCTTCTCTTGTATAAGCGATTACATTTATAAAGTATGTAAGAGGCCTCCTATATTTTCACAGTCATATTTTAAATTTTCAAGTGTACCCCTCTAGAGTTTACTGGGCTTCGTTTATACTTAGAATGTGTTTAGCTATTCGGATTATCTCTTCAGTTCTTACCTGTATTCTGACTTACAGGAATTTGGGGGTCATGAAAAATGAGGCATTTGTAAAGCATAAAATTTAGTTGAGTTTACCAGCTTTGCTTGTTTGAAGACCTTGAATGACAACAGTCTGACAGGTCAGGAGAAGGGAAGACACCAGAACAGAAACATGGATGACAGGAGCTATTGTCATGGGTTTGGTTCCATTGTGTCTAGAATAGCCCATACTCTTTAGCATTCCTTAATGCAGATAATCATTTCCATTGAGACAGGGAAGATAAGCAGCAAGCACTGCTCTCCATCTCCACTTTAGCTTCTCTTATTCCAGAGACATTTAATGTGCCACAGATGCTGCTAGAAATAGTTTGGCCCCATCCATAGTTCCTTTTCTTAGCCTCTGTAACCTGTGCGAATGAAGGTGGTTTTAGAAAAATGCTATTTCTATTTATCTCATTTAGTCATGTTAATGTAAACCAAGTATGTCACAAAAACTGGAATCAGTGTACTTTAAAACGGCATTTAATTTTAACATATTCTGTCAAACTATCAAAAGTTCATCAGTCTAAAGTGCATGAAATTACATATATTCTGTGTGGGGAAATGCCTTGAGTGTTTTTTAACAGCAGGAGGGGAAGCATAAGATGGTGTGAAGGGACTAGGAGAGCCTCAGAGACAGTGGCTGTCATCTGATGGTGACCAGTGACTGACTGGCAAGTAGGAATCAGCCCAGCAGCAAAACTAGATACAGGAGAAAAGTTAATGGATTTCTGTAATTCTAAAAAAGCATAGTATTTTTATGAATAGTACATTCAATTGTGTCTCAAAGGAGTTTAACAAAATTTTCATTATTAGTAGTTTTAATAATGGCATTGTTTTCTTCAACTTTACTTTTATTTAGGATTCAGGTGTCCATTTATGTGTTATTGATGACTCCAATGAACATATGCTTACTGTATGGGACTGGCAGAAAAAATCAAAAGTAGCAGAGATAAAGGTAAATCAAAATAAGTTTTGGATATTATCTTTCAGAGGCCATTATTTGGTAGGTGCTTGGATTTATAGTTTATGCTAATCCAGATTATAAGAATAAATTCATAACTCACATTTATCAGTTTTTCCAATTTATCAGGAATCTGTGATATTAGCACTACAGTTAGACAAAACAAAATAGTGGAGCAGTTTCATATTTCAGAAAACATGATACTGAAATATCAGAGTAGAAGATGTCCAGTTTCAAGACTGAGCATTCTGCGTGGCTACTGCTTTTTACTCAACTTGACGTTTCTATCGGCCTCTGAGGCCTTATGAGTCAATAGGAGAGTTTTACTTAAGAATACACTTGAGGAAGCTGGAGAGATGGCTCAGCAGTTAAGAGCACTGACTGCTCTTTCAGAGGTCCTGAGTTCAATTCCCAGCAACTACATGGTGCCTCACAACCATCTGTAATGAGATCTGGTGCCCTCTCTGGCCTTCGGGTTACATGCAGGCAGAACACTGAATACATGATAAATAAATAAATATTAAAAAAAAATAAAAAGGAACACACTTACTCTAACTAAAGGGCCTATATAAACGTATAAGGTTTTGTGTAGTGACTATAGGGAGTGCTGTGGCATTTAGAGGGCTTGTAGAATTTATAAGTGCTGTAGAATAGTGCGGCTCAGACTGGCTCATAAGTTGGTTGTAGCTGGGCGGTGGTGGCGCACGCCTTTAATCCCAGCACTCGGGAGGCAGAGGCAGGCGGATCTCTGTGAGTTCAAGACCATCCTGGTCTACAAGAGCTAGTTCCAGGACAGCCTCCAAAGCCACAACCCCCCCCAAAAAAAAAAAAAAACATTGTAAGTTAGCATCACAGCTGCATTTATATGGGTCAGAGATGCTAAGAGTACAGGATGCCTTTGCTAAGTCCTTAAAGAATATGTTTGTAAGGTTGGAGAGATGGCTCTGCAGGTAGAACTTGTCCTGCTCTTGCAGCTAACCTGAGATCAGAGCTCCCCGTACCCACATCGGTACCACCCATAACCTCTGTGATTAAGCCCATGGCGCCTGCACTTAGGTGCACATACCATATACAGACACACATGCATAAACATAATTAAAAAGTTAAGAAAGGAAGAATATGTGTTTTGCTTCAGCTTCTTGTCTGTTGTGTCGGGGTTAATTATTTACATATATATCTCTAAGTTTTCAGTTATTTTAATTTAAAGGGCGTTTTGTTGTTGCTGTATGTATATGTAATTTCTGAAATAAGCAGGGTATATCTGGTTGTACTTGAAAATGGCTGTCAGAAAACCTCACACCTTAAACATAAATGAAATCATAGATAGTCTTTCAGCCATCACCATTCTGCATAGTTTACACTACTGACATGTAAGGAAATTGAAGCCAAATGAAATAGGTAAATCTTTCTCTTTTGTGGGTAGGTCTCCCAAGTGAGCACTGCGTTTCCCCCTGGCCATGCCTCGGTTGCCTTTCCAGGATATGTTGCTAGTACAGAGCTCTATTGCAGACCCTCCATTGAGGGCAATGCTGTCTAAGATATACTGTGTACCTCCAGCCCAGATTTCCCAGACATCGTATAGGAATGTCCTCTACCACAAATCAAAATTAACTTAATGTAGTCTTCTGTTGTTCCACCCAGTATTGCCTCCCAATGTGGATGCTGTATCCATCTGAGACACCTGGGCCTCTCCTTTCTCATCCAGATCCCCACACCCTCCTAATGTCCTTGTCCAGAACAGCTCACTGGAAAGCCAGCAAAGCTTAACTGCAGAGTATTTATTCCTGGTAGTCAGAGAGGAAAGCCTTTGGAGAAAAGCAAAGGCATTTTGCCAGGAATGATTTGGTTCCAGGGCTAAATCCATGGCCTTCTCTCCACCATCTTCCTCTCTATGTGTAGACCTTACAGCAGTCTAACAGGGGGCTCCCTCTGCTTAAGTCATGAAGACCTGAGGCCTGATAAATAACTTTGTACTTTGTGTAAGTTTAAGGTTCAGTTTGGAGCTGCTGCTGGATGGGCGAATTGGTATAGACATTTTGGAAAACTGTTTGGCATTACCTGCTAAGGCTGAACCTAGGCCTACTTGCTGACACAGCCTGGTTTTCTCCAGAGTATAAGGCCAACGTAACTAGACTGACATATTCACTAGAGTAGTATATTTGTAGTGCTATTTACAATAGTTTTTTAAAAAAAAAAGTGGAACTACCCTAGTTGCAGTTGGCAGGAGATGTGGTCCTTTTTTTTTTTTTTTCCCTTTTCAAAGGAATATTTTATTGACATTTAGACTGAATATGAATGGATCTCACAAATATAATGTTGAAAAAATACTGTAAGCATGAAAGCAGTACACTGGACAGTGCCTCTGGTTTGATTTCCTATGTAGTGGTAGAGGATAGGAAACTTACAAAGCATCTGGTCTGCTTCTGGCTCCAGTGCTGTGAGGGTTAAGACAACCCACATTGCTCCTGCATTGTACAGTGGAAGTGTGCTTTTCCAATATGTAAGAAGTATGCTGTCATTCTTATAAACTTCTTATAAATAAACAGCAGAAGAATCGATAAAATAATATAAGGATGTCACAATTAAACCTTGATTCTAGAAGTTCTTAATTTTTTTTTCTTTTTCTTTTCTTTTTTTTTTTTTTTTTAGGAAGCCAGGTGGTAGTGGTGCATACCTTTAGTCTATCACTCAGGAGTTAGAGGCAGGCAGATCTCTGAGTTTGAGGCCAGCCTGGTCTATAGAGTAAGTTCCAGGACAGCCAGGGCTACACAGAAAAAACCCTGTCTTGGGGCGTAGGTGATTTAGGAAAATAAATCTTAGAAGAAAAGGCATTTCCTAAAATATTTTCCCTGTCTTTGTAAGGAATTATAATTGGATTTTAATAGAAGTAAGAATATATATTCTTCTAAAAATGTCATTTTTTCCCCTCACAGACAACAAATGAAGTTGTTTTGGCTGTGGAATTCCACCCAACAGATGCAAATACTATAATAACATGTGGTAAATCTCATATTTTTTTCTGGACCTGGAGTGGCAATTCACTAACAAGAAAACAGGGAATTTTTGGGGTAAGGATCAGAGTATTGTAACATCACTAATCTTTTTTATTGTTGGGTGAGCATAAAGTCACCATGCCAAAGAGAAAACTGAAGATTCTCATTTTATTGTAGAAATATGAGAAACCAAAGTTTGTTCAGTGTTTAGCATTCTTGGGGAACGGAGATGTTCTCACTGGAGACTCAGGTGGAACCATGCTCATCTGGAGCAGAACTGCCGTGGAGCCCCCACCTGGGAAAGGACCTAAAGGTATACCATTGTCATCTTCCATGAGCTGCATAATTCTTACCTAGTGTTATGGTAGTTCCCCCCTTACCCAACCCGTAGTAACGGGAGAGTTACCAACATACCTGTGCTCCTTTAAGAATACATGCAATGTTTACTATATCCAGTTTCCCATCTGTCAGCCTCTCCCACTTAGCAGCCACTCCCTTCTCTCTGGGTGTCTTTATTCTAGGTAATTTATTGGAATAGAGTGAAATGTGTGGCTTTTTATAACTAAGTTTCTTTTTTGTTTGGTTGGCTTTTTTTTTTTTTTTTTTTTTTTTTTAACACATTTTATTGGTGTCTTTTTTTTTTTTTTTTTTTTTTTTTTAACACACTTTACTACATATCCCAGGCTGGTCCAGAGCTCACTGTGTAACCCCGGCTGACCTCAAACTCAACATCTCCTATTGGGATTATGGATGTAGAACTCCCATGCCTGACTATACTGGCTTCTTTTAGTTAGCATGTTTTCCAGGTTCATTATGTTAGGGCATGTTTTATTACCTCCTTTTTTGACATAATATTCAGTTATATAGGCATACCTATGTTTTACTTATCCATTCACCAGCTGGTATATAATTTTAGAAAATGAATCTATTCAAAACTTTTACCCCATTTTTCCACAAGATCTAAGGCTATTTGTTGACTTGAGCCCATGTTTAAACAAGGCTCTGGCTTCCATTGTGAACCTGGTGTCTAATTCTCTAAGGCATTATCTTCCAGAAGCTGTCCTCTTGCCTCAATAGCCTCACTTGATTGCTAGAGACTTCCGAATAAGCATCATGGGCTCCAGATCAGGATTGGGTGACATAATTTCTTTTCTAGCCTCCTATTTCTCAGCAGCATGTCTATTAGTGATTGTTATGTACTGAGCTCACTAACAAAGGCTCTTTTGCAAAGCTCCAGGGACATTGAGTGGTAGACTTGGGTCCTGGTCACAGCTTTATTATTAGGTAACTGGTATTGTGTATGCCACCCTCAGACTTCTGCCCTTGCTCTACAGTCAGAAGAGTGAGACCACACTGATGTGGCACAAAACTATCACAAGAGGTAGCAGTGAAGTTTGGTGCTACATTTTACACCCTTTTGTCTGGACGGTTCTCACTATTTTAGCAGCTTACTTTTCTGTAAGAAAATAATTTTTAGAGTACATAATGTCGACGAATGCAAAGGATTCTTTTCAGCCTTAAGCTTCTCTGTCCCCATGTTTCAATAACTTGCTGAGAATTGACTTTTGATTATGAAGTTATGAACGTTCTGAGTCTTCGCCCTGTAGCCCTGCTGAAGTTTGTTTCCAGAAGGACACTAAGGTCTAATAAAATGTATTATTACTAGTGTTTTGATTTTCCCATTACCATATTAGGTGTCTATCAGATCAGCAGACAAATCAAAGCTCACGATGGCAGTGTGTTTACGCTCTGTCAGATGCGAAATGGGATGCTGTTAACTGGAGGAGGGAAAGACAGAAAAATAATTCTGTGGGATCATGATCTGAACCCTGAAAGAGAAATCGAGGTACGGCTGGCAATGGAACGCTAAAAATCTCATAATAGTAGAACCTCTACTCATGCATTTTGTCTCATTTTGAGATTGCTTTTCTGGGAAACTGGTACATGTTCTTACCATTCCTTCCCCTCCCCCAGAGGAGAAAGCTGGTTATGGCACAGAGTGTGCTTTAAACAACGTAATTTGGAGTTTGAGGGCTTTATGGTTTATTTTGCCATGCAAGAAATTGAGCTTGGGGCCTGACACAGATTAGGCAAACAGTATGAGCAGAGGCATTTTGGAGCCCTTCATGAAGAAGCAACAGCACCCATTTCAGAGTCATTCTGTGGGATCATTGGTTATCGGTGTAAAGATCACTGAGATTATATCACATAGTGTGTGTAAGTGAAATGGATCTCATAAAGAGGCCTGTGGATAGCCTTTAGAACACTGTACAGTGCAGTCATCCTTTCCTATCTGAAAAGGAGTAGTTTCTGATCTCCCCACAGAGTCCAGAGATCTGTGTGTGCTCAAGTCCCTTACATAATGCTGTCAAGTATTTCCGTGTACTTACAATTTAATTGTCTGCATACTGTTTACCATATCTGATACAGTGTGAATGTTATCAAAAATGTTTTACTGAACTAATAATGGAGTGGTACATATTCAGTACAGACAGGTTTTTTTTTTTCACTCCAATATTTTCAGTCCACAGTTGATTTAGTCCTTGGATGCAGAATCTACAGATAAAAGGCCAACTAACTGTGTGTTTTTTTTTTTTTTTGTGGTTTTTTTTTTTTTTTTTTTTTTTTTTTTTTTTTTTGGATTCACTGAGATTTTTCTTTTTTGGTCCTTGTGACAATTAAGAATGACTGCCCAGAAGAACATAAAACAAAAACCCAGACCATACTTCTTATGAGCTCCAAAAGAACTCACTCCCTTTCCCCACACTTCTAACCCTTAACTCTTGGAATCATACAGAATATAGATTTAGATTTTACTGAAGTGGGCTAGAAGTGAGATCACTGTGAGAAGCTTGTGCAGTCTGTGGGAGACCTTGTACTGCAAAGATAATTACTATAAATGAGGCAAAGGATGTTGATAATAATACACTATAACTTCTGTGTGATAAAATGTAAGTGAACATTAAATTACCAAATGATGAGACTACCCCGTTGTTTCAGGTTTAGAATCTGTCTTTATTACTCTATATCTGCATACAGCTGTGAGCACAGTACTATTAAGGTAGTAATTATTGCATGTTACTCTGTTTACAGTAACGTCACACATTCATTTGTTCCAGGTTCCTGATCAGTATGGCACAATTAGAGCTGTTGCAGAAGGAAAGGCAGAACAGTTTTTAGTAGGTACATCACGAAACTTCATTTTAAGGGGAACATTTAACGATGGCTTCCAAATAGAAGTGCAGGTAAGCTATGTGAGGCCAGTGGTTTCTGTGTTGCTTTTTGGTAACACCCTTTGGTTCTTACAACACGGTTTTTCATTTTCAGGGTCACACAGACGAGCTCTGGGGCCTTGCAACACATCCCTTCAAAGATTTGCTCTTGACGTGTGCTCAGGACAGGCAGGTGTGCATGTGGAACTCCGTGGAGCACAGGCTGGAGTGGACCAGGCTTGTGGATGTGAGTGGGTAATTTCCTCGTGCAAACGTCTCCCACTGCCGGTTGCAAGCAGCAAAGAAAAAAAGAACTAGGCATAGATGTAAATTTGTGTCTATGGCTTGGCGAAGAGAGCCACGTACACTGTTTTTCTCTCAGTTTCAGTGGTCAAATTAGACTTCATGTATTTGTGGAGCATTAATTATATTTGGCCCACTGTGGTGGTGCATTTGGTTTCAGTCAACGCTGTAACAGATGCTATCGTCGTCTTTATGAGTCATCTTGTATTTTTGCCCTACTATATCCAGACAACTACTTTTTCTTGCCTGAAAATTACACATGAGGTCTTTGTGTCTTTTTTAGGGGGATGCTGAAACAAGGTTTATCTGTATAGCTCTGGCTATTCTGGAACTCGCTCTGTAGACCAGGCTGGCCTCAAACTCATATCTCTGCCTCTGCCTCCCCAGTGCTGAGAGATTAAAGGCATGTGCTGCCACCACCCAGCATGTATTTAATGTATTTGGTGTTACCCATATTGTTCCGCTGCCCGGCCACAAACCAATTATCTTTTCCCTTTGCCAGTCAGTCCTAAAGTTCCTTTTCAGTTGTATCTACATAGTATTTCTCATTGGTTTACAGTAAAGCTGACCAGAATTTCATGTTTATGTGAAACAAGTTACTTAGATTTTTTTTTTTTTTTTCACAGTTCCCTTAGATCTAAGGAGTCTTTTCTCCTGTACCCTCTGTCTTAGTCAGGGCTCTATTGCTGTGACACCATGACTAAGGAAACTCCTAGAAAGGAAAACATTTAACTGGGGCTGTAGTCCATTATCAGCATGGCAGGACATGGTGCTGGAGAGGAAGCTGAGAGTTCTGCATCTTGACCCATAGGCAATAGGAAGTGAACTCTGTCCCACACTGGGTATAGTATGAGCATATGAGACCTCAAAAACTATCCCCACAGCGACTCATTTCCTCCAACAAGGCCACACCTCCTAAGAGTGCCACTCCCTACCAAGCCCTCAAACATATGAATCTGTAGGGCCATACCTATTGAGACCACCACTCCCTCAATGGCTGTCTTTTTCTCCTCTAGGAACCAGGACACTGTGCAGATTTTCATCCAAGTGGTACAGTGGTGGCCATCGGAACACATTCAGGCAGGTAGGGTCTTTAAGTGAGCTGAGTGATCCGAAATTGTGGGCTGTTCGAACTACTGTGGAGTGTTGTCAATCTCATCTGGGAAATTCATCCCTCATACAGCACACTTAATACCCTTGTGTGCACTTAGTCAAGTGTAAGGCTAGAGGGGTTTGAAAATCACAAAAGCACAGTTTGACTGGATAAAGCAGTACATGTGTGTCCAATACATATGCTCACACACAGCCCTAGTGTTTTTAACTGTTTTGATTAGCTAGGTGATGGCTCAGCAGGTAAGTTGCTTGCTGCCAACCCTGACGGCATGAACTCAGACCCTGGAATCAAGAACCAACTCCTGGAAGTTGTCCTCTGCTCTCCACATGCATGTCATGGCATGTGCACTCCCCTATAACACACACACACACATTTTTTAAAACCTTAAATAAATGTTTAAAAAGTGATCTGGTTGAAACCCACTGAAATTACTTTCTAATATTTATGAAGCTGTGGAGTCACTTCAGTCTTAGTGACTTATACTAAAGTTAAAAGATTTTTACTTGTTGGAGTTGTCAGTAGAAAGCACACAAATGAGAGGACTATAATAACTAACTACATATGTAGTGTTGGCAGTTAGTCTGCTCCGTCTGGTATGGAGCTGGAGACTGCACAGATCTACACCAGATGCAATTTTTATTGTTCATTTTAGATACGATTCACACCTGCTTCTGTGCTTTTGAATCATGGAGAACACTTTACTCTCTGAAACTGAAAAGTTACTATTTTAGCCATTCAGATTATAATCACTTCTCTTTTATACCTGGGGGAAAGTCACATTCGGGGCTAAGAGCTGGTTATTGTAAAACATTTCCAAATTGTGCATGAGTCAGAAAGTTGACTGGTAAGATGTTTAAAGATGTGTCTGTGTCCATTTATAGATTTCTGCATCATGTCACCAAGTAAAAAGTGCATTAGTGACTCAGAGTCACCAATATGCATTAGTACTGCATTAAGGGAAGAAATCAAAGCACTTCTCTTGGAGTAATTTAACCAAGAGTGAACCTGAGTTAGAGTCCTGTTTATCTCCCTGTGTCTTCCCTATCTCTCTAGCTTATGGGTTCAGGCCAGCAGTAAACAGTTTGAGTCTATGTCCCTGTGCCTGTCTGATGTCTGTCTTGTCTGTCCCTATGTCTGGTCCCTAACAAAGGGCTTTTGCTCTGTGTGTATTGAACAGCACAGAAAGAGCACGTCAGGTGAGAAGGGATGAAGTATTAGTGTTGTGTATTTATTATTACATAAGTGCACTTGCATCCTGTTTGCTGTTCTCAGCAAACAATTATGATAACACACATGCAGACATTCATGTATTGTTCTGGGCTAGGGCCATGGAAAAGATTAAAGCTGTGCATTAGCTTAGGTACATTACATGGAAAGTCCAAGGCAAGTTACACTGTTCTTTCAAATGCAGGTTAGACAGGCTGAATACACAGTAGGATAGCAGTATTAAGTCTTAAGTGACCTCAAGATATATTATTAACTCAGCTGTGAGGTCCAGCAGTAATTCTAGTAAGAGATATTTTCACAATACTGCATCTGCACAAATAAACACAAGAGCAAATACATTATCAGTGATAAAATTGTTGTTTTAAAAGAGTGTGTGGTGTATGTGACATCTAGGGATGCTCCACAACTGCCCAAAGACTGTATTGTGTCTTTTTTAAGGGGGAAGAAATGAGTGGGTATAATTACCACTGCTCAGCTTTATTGAGATATAATTTACCATAAAGCCCACTTAAATATATTATCTAATGGTCCTAGTACATCCACAGAACTGTGTAATATCATTTCAGACTGTTTTCATTAGCCCAGAAAGAAATCCTTTACCCTAACAGCAATTCCTGTATACCTACCTTCTGCCCTGTTCAGCTATAGGTAGCTGACTAGCCTTTTCCTATAGGTTTGCCAGTTCCAGACATTTCATATGAATGGAATCAGGCAGGCATGCCTTGGTGACTGGCTTCTTTCACTTGAAGTAATAGAGCTTGAAAGAATGTTATATATACTAGTACTTATCCCTTTTTATGGCCATTTGGCTTTCCACTTTTGACAATGGAATAATCCTGCTACAAACATTCATGTACAAGATTTGGTGTAGAAGTATGCTTTCATTTGTCTTGGATGACAGAGGTCATACAATTCTAATGCTTTGACAGACTTTTGTACATCAGCTGTGCCATTTGCAATCCTACTTCAGAGGGCTCCAGTTTCCCCACATCTTTACATCGTCTCCTCATCTACCTGTGTTCTGGTCACCCAGGAGGCAGGGGGTGAAGGAACTGATGTCATGGTTTGCATTTGCAACAGCATTTGTTTACCATTCTAAGCAAACTGTATATTCAAATCCTGTCCCACACATGAATTACTGAGTTGTAAAGAGTTCTTTATCGCATAAGTGATTGGTTGAATTGGGCTTTTCTTCTCTTGTTGGCTTTACTTTTTTTTTTTTTTTTTTTTTTTTTTTAAAACGGTTTTTTTTTTGTTTTTTTTTTTTTTTTTTTTTTTTTTTTTTATAAACAGGCTTTCTCTGTGTAGTCTTGGCTGGCCTCAAACTTAAGAGATCTACCTATCTCTGCCTCCTGTGTACTGGAATTAAAGGCATGTGCCGCCACCACCTGGTTTTGGGGTATTTTTGTTTGTTTTCTTTCTTCTTTTGACTTTACATTTTTCTAATTACAAAAGTAACATTCCTTTTGATTTTTATTTTCGTGTGTGCCTGCCTGTCTGTCTATTCCATATATGTGTGGTCATTCTTGGAGGACAGAAGAACTAGAGGATCATTCAAAAAAAAAGAGCAAGGCCATAGGACACACTTTATCCAAAGATACTATCATGGATTTAATGGCTGCATATTTTTCTAAAGGAAAAGAGATAACTTTTATTTAAGGATGCTAAAGTAGTTCGACCTCTAAATTCTCTGTGCATAAGCCGTGTACCCAAGCATGGTGATACATGGCTATGATCCCAGCATTTGTGGAAAAGTAGGAGGATAAAGAATTCAAGGTCAGCCTTAGCTATAGAGCAAGTTGACAGCCATCCTGGACTACATGAGACTTGACAACCAACCCGAAAAAGTCATCATGATAAAGGGTATTTGGGTTTGCACGTCAACTTAATATATCCCATCCCTGATGGCCATTAGGTTTAGAAAAAGCCATTAGTTCCTTTAGGTCTCATAGAGCCTCGTAGTGATGGCACATTACTCCCCAGGAGAAGCTCTGTTCTAATATATACACCTTAAAATGAGAAGTGATTAAATACAACGTGAAAACTCAAATTTTGCTTGTAGAAAACTCCCTTTTCTGGGACTTTGAGTAAGAACAGAGATCCTGGCCATGGTAGCATCTTCTGAAAGTAAAATACAGTGCAGTGAAAGGGGTGAGAGCGTGCACATCTATAGGGAAATTCTATGCGTTTAACAATTATTTGCCTGGCTGGAGAGAGGACTCAGTAGATAATGCTCTTGGTGTGCATAGGGTAATGACTGGTTTCCAAGTTAAGCAGGCATAGCATCCAGCCTCTAATCCCAGCAGCCCCCAGAAAGTGGAGAAGGAAGCTGGCCAGCTACAACAGCTGAATCTTCACACTCCTACTTCGTTCATTGAGAAGAGAAACCCTATCTCAAAGGAGAGTCGGCTTAGGGCTTTCACACACATGCAAATTAGGGTCCAAAATAAAATGCCATTCCAAAAATAGAAGAATCAACCTGCTGTATTTAAAGAAATAGAAAAACTACACAAGAGTTAAAAAACAAAGATTAAGTAGCTGCTATCTATAACAGTGTAGGTTTCTATACATGAGAACATGATCTAGGCTTTGTTGCTTGCTCAGGTTGCTTCCAAACAGATTTAAAAAAATGTATGTAGCTTTCCTAGGAAAATTAAAAGGGCTTAGAAATAGCCAATATTAGTTAGAGGTTTACCAACTTTATTATATTCTTACATACTTAATATGATTATGAAAACTTTAATAATTTTAAGACTTGAAGCCTGGTAGTCATAGTAACTCTGTATCTCAAGATCCAGTTAGTCTTAGTTGTGATGTCATCTTGTTTCCTTTCTGAAAAGGCAGCTCTCGGTGCTTACAGTGGTAGCCTGAAGACTGATGAATAACAGTTCAAAACAAACCTACAGTCTGTGGGCACCGTCAGCTGTGCCAACGTATGTTCAGTAAACATGGACCATATGGCTCCTGTGTGCCAGCTTCCTACTGGTTGGCCTTTAAACTCAAGCGTGTGGAGAAGGCTGTTAAATGACAGAGTGTATGGATTAAATTAGCTACCTAGAGAAATTCCAGCCCCTCACTCACAAAATTACTAAAATTCAATCCTGAATGTGTCCCTTTTTTCTGCCTGCCTCCCTAGCTATGCAGCTGCCATTATCCTAACCTCCCCTCAATGTTCACTTCATCCTGCATCCTCCTTACAGGTTCTTCTGTGCCTACTCTTACTCATTTCCTCTGTGAGTTCTGTTGTTTGCTGACCGTCCCAGGGATTACCATTTAGTCATTTCTTTTCTCCGCTGCCCCATTGCTGACTTTCAGCTCTAGTATAATCTTGACCTTGTCATTGTATTTTTCTGTCTAAACAATGCCTGACAGAGGTACAGTTAAAAACACTAGACCAATGTCTATCTAGCAGCATTTTTTGCAGCATTTTTTTAAATACTCTTGATTAGAACATAGAAGCACAGTCCTAGTTAAATATTAATACTTAAATTTCTTAAAAGTGTAGAAAAGGGGGCTGGAGAGATGGCTCATTGGTTAAGGACCTGGGTTCAGTTCTCGAGCCCACATGGCAGAAACTTTGTGTAACTCTGGTTCCAGGGGACTCGACACCCTCTCACAGACCAATGCAAATAAAACTAAAATAAATGAAATCTGAAAAAAATGTAGAAAAAGTCAGCTACTCTTTCTGTAAATGTTACTGTCTTTTCCTTCTTTCCTTCCTAAACAGGTGGTTTGTCCTGGATGCAGAAAGCAGAGATCTGGTGTCCATCCACACTGATGGGAATGAGCAGCTCTCTGTGATGCGCTACTCAGTAGGTGGGCAGCCCCTCCTCCTTTGGTGTGCACTCACCGAAATCACATTTATTTGTCGATGAGGTTCACTCCTTTTATCTGTTTCCAAGAGTTGTGACTTGTCCCCCAAATATCAGGTTAAACTCCACTACTGGAAACTATAAGAAACCCAAAAACTTAAACAGCATAATCATCATCAAGCATGCATTTACCATGAACTGTCACAGCTGCGGTAGCAGTTAGAACCAGTATAACCAAATCATACTATATACACTAGAATCTTTATATAGTAAGCTGAATGTAGTAGTAGTTTCTCGCTGGGACTACTCGCCCCAAATGACACTCATTATGAAAGCTTGGCCTTTAGCTTAGGCTTGTTCCCAACTAGCTCTTACAACTGAAATTTAACCCGTTTCTATTCATCTGTGTTCCATCACATGGCTTTTTACCTTTCTTCCATTCTGTATGTCCGACTGCCTCTGGGTCTCGCTAGCGTCTCTCATGTGCTAGATTCATTTCCAGTTCCGTGCTCTCCCTGCAAATCCTGCCTATGCTCTCCTGCTAGCTATTGGCCAGTCAACTTTTTATTAAACCAATCACAGCAATACATCATCACACAGAATACAGATACCCCACAACAGCTGAATGTTACGTCTAATTAGCAACCTTTTCTTTGTATATAAAAAGGATAGAGGGCTAGAGAGATGGCTCAGAGATTAAGAGCACCGGCTGCTCTTTCAGAAGTCCTGAGTTCAATTCCCAGCAACCACATGGTGGCTCATAACCATCCATTATGAGATCTGGTGCCCTCTTCTGGGATGCAGATATACATGGAAGCAGAATGTTGAATATATAATAAATAAAATCTTTTAAAAAAGAAAAAAAAGATAGAAGCAGTGGAGAATGGAGTTTAGTGATAGAACACTTGCCTTGGGTTCAGTCCTTGGCATTGCCAAAAAATTGTAGAAGAAATAACCAGCATTCATACTAATATCCAAATACTCTATTTAACATTGTTTTGAGTTATATAATCATAATTGTTACTGGATAAAATACTTAAGAATTCTTAAGTAATTCTTAAGTAACTCATTCAGTTTTGAGTAATTCTTTGTACTTTATTCAAAATGTTTTCACAATATTCCAGTTACTTTTTTGTTGTTATTTATGTGGTTTGATTTATATTATCCTTTTCTAGAGTCAATCTGACTGTTTTTGAGGTGGTCTTTCCCAAGCTGTCTTGAAACTCATAATTCTCCCGCCTCTTAGAAGAACTGAGATTATAGGCATGCATACCTAGAATTTCTTACATGTGAACATTTTGGGTTGGTGGGTTTTGTTTTTGTAATGCTAGGAGTTGAAACCTATGTTTCATGTACCTGACAGGTAAACACTTCATCAAGGAGCTACATCTTTGGCCCACAGAGTGTATTCTCATAGCTGTTGATTAAGAGTAAAGAGAGGATGTTTGATTGCTCCTTCATTCTTTCCAAAGAAGCACGAACATGGGGAAAATTAGTTTGATTTCTGTTGTTTTTCACATGTGTCAGAGGGCAACTCTTGTTAGGTCATTCTATGCTTCTACCTCATGGTTCCTAGGCTTGAACGGGGTCATCAAGCATGGCAACGGGTCCCTTTCCTTCTGCTCCATCTTGCCTGCCCCAGTACAGTCATTTGAGACAGCAGTATTTCCTGTTTTGCTTTTTTATTTTTTTAATGCTGGAATTACAACCTTTACAAAATGTAGCATTTAAAATCAAAAGATCAGTGAGTCTGTCCAGTTGTCAATTGCTTAGCATAGCAGTAGGTATAACCAAAGATGACACAGAACCAGAGAGAGTATTGTGTTCCTTCTTAAGACCTACCCTGATATTGGTGGCGTCAGATGTGCCTGCCCAGCTATGCAGCTGTACATGCTTAATTTACTGCATGAACATTGTGTACTTCCACCAATAAATGTAGGGAAATTGTCCTGAACCCATCATCTAGTCGACTACAAGGGGACAAGACCACAGAGTATCCAAGGAAGGATTCTATGTTGGACTGGGTTACCATTTGATTTTAGGGGATGCTGAGTGATTGGATTTGTTCATAAAATGCCAAATAACAGTTACTTTGAGATTTGACACTTTTTTGTAGAACCAGTAAGGTAGCAATACAGACATTTTTCTAGTCAACACTTTTTTCACATTTAAATTCTAGATGGTACTCTCCTGGCTGTAGGATCTCACGACAACTTTATTTACCTCTATTCGGTATCAGAAAATGCAAGAAAATACAGCAGATATGGAAAGTGCACTGTAAGTAGCAAAATAGAATGACCTAAGTTACAAAGTAATTGAGAAATTGTATTCTGTTAAAAGGAGAATTAAGTGTTCACCTTGATGTAGCCCTTGTTTTCTCATGTTAACTGCTTTAAACTCTAATCTGTTTCTGTGAAACCTGAGATCACCTGTGCCATAATGCATGGGTCCCTTGTCTGGATCCACAGTACCTCATAAACTAGCTATAGCAGCACTTTCTTGGCACATGGCGACAGGAGGATCAGTATTCCGGGTCATCCTCAGCTACATAGTAAGTTTGAGACCCTACCTCAAATAAAGAAAATAGAGGAGGGGAGACCTGGAGGTGTCTGAGTGGGCCCAGGTTGCCAGCACCCACATGGAGCTGCTCTCATCCACCTGTATCTCCAGCTCCAGGGGATCTGGTGTTTCTGATCTCTATGGCAATGCACATACCCACACACATAATGGAAAAACTTTTTAAAAAGAAAATTGTAATTACCTGACTGTAGAACACTACTATGGGTTCTGGAAAGGTACCTCCTTACAGTTGAGCTTAGTATTAATCTCTTTGTAATGAGTATTAAAGCAGTTTGTTTAAACTATTTCTATGGGAAACTGTTTGATAAAAGATCTTTCTGCATAGCCCAGGCTGCCCTTGAACTTACTCTGTAGACCAGACTGGCTTCAAACTCACAGAGATCTTCCCTGCCCCTGCCTCTAGAGTGCTAGGATTAAAGGTGTTTGTCACCACACCCCTAGCTCTGGGAAGCTTTATCTCAATGCCCCATGTTTGATCCCCAGTATCCTATAGAATAACTTTAGTGGATGTCTCCTTTTAAGAAAGTGAGCAGAAACGTATTTGCTGTGATTTGTTTCTCCATTTCTAAAGATAGCAGGTTATCTTTATAATATGAAAGTTAAATTCTATACACAAGCTACATACTTCTCTGTTTGGTGGGAACTCAGCTCAAACTACAGAAATTGACTGGGCACCAGTTTGCATTGATTGGCCTTCTGAGCACATTGTGTGTCTACTGTTGTGTGAGTTAAGTATTGCTTTTTTAGAGATGCAGGCAATATGCACATAACACCTGTGTTAGGATAAAGGCTTAGAGGAGTATGGCAATGCACAATTAGACATGAGACTTGTCTGTCAGTGTGTTAGCATGCCCTCATACACACTCAGAAATACCATGCAGTAACCATGCATGCCATTCTGGTTTTAAACATTGATCTCTTGTTGCTAATGTTCTCAACTGCAAGTGATTCTTGGCCTGTTTTCCAACATATCCAGTCTCTAGTATTCAGGAAGCTTCAAAACTCCCAAACTCCACAGTTGAGATCACTTAAACATACAAATACATGGATCTGCGGTGCTTTGAGCAAGGTTGTGGGGTCCAAAAGAGAGTTTGGGACATGTTTAATTTGGCTTCAGGAGACTGGAATAATTAAAATGCTTGTGAGTTATTAAAAACTGTATCTGAGATGAATTGAGTTTATTAACTTCAAACAATGTAAGCAGGAGGCTTTTAATTCCAAAAGTACAAAGTTAGGCTATATGAAACAAGTGTGTGTGTGTCTGCCGACCTTGATAAATCATAAGATCCTCAGGACATACTTGAAATGGGTTATTGGGAATCATCGCATTTAGTAGTTTTAATTTCCAGTGTTAAAAGCTAAGCAGCAAAAGATCACTATTTTCCTATTTAAGGAAAGTTTTGAAGAACCAGATGGTTAACTTGGGTCTAGCTGTTCTGCAGGGATGCAGTGTTGGGTCACTTTCTGCTACCCAGAACATTCTTTGGCAATAGGAATGTGCCTAGGAGAGTTCTGACTATTTATAGGGACCATACACAGCCCAGGAAAACTTCTGTGTGCATAATCTGTAACAGAAATTTTCTCAAGACGAGTGTCCATTCCATTGGTGACATATGGTGAGTGGGTTAAAGGCAAGCCTGAAAATGCATGGTGTTATTCTCTAACACAAGTGGTACCTACTTGTCTCTGGTGTGGCACTTGACAGTGTTCTGTTATGTCCCCTGCCCAAACTCTTGTTGTATCTACCTGCCATTCTTACCTTCTAACAGGGCAGGGTAAAAAGAACTGAAGAACCTGTCCTGGGTCTCTTTGGCACCACAGGCTCTGATGCTGCCCCACCCTTAGGAGGCCTGGCACACGGATCCTAAGAAAGCATTGTTAACAAATTATTATTACACTGTCACTCAAAACTAAATGCTGTCTTTATTAACCTTTTCTTAGGGACATTCTAGCTACATCACACACCTTGACTGGTCCCCAGACAATAAGCATATAATGTCTAACTCGGGCGACTACGAGATACTGTACTGTAAGTATGAGCAATCATCTGTGGGCTCAGATCTGTTTGCCAGGCAGTGCTACGAAGGCTGCGTGGAATGTGAACGGTGAAGTGTGTGCTGGCCTCTAATTTAACAGTACATGTTACTCCGAGCTAAGTAACGAGGCTCCCATGCAGCTCCTTCTCCAAGAAAGCAATGCATTAATTTAACAGTGCAGAACTGACATCGGATGTTGCCATGAGAGATTTTTCTGTGAAACTGAGGCAGCTCTCAATGGCTTCATTAAGCAGCTTTTCCTGGAGGCAGGGCAAGTATTGGGGTGAGCCTTCATGCTTTCAGACACTTACTCTTTTCTGTAAGGTCCTGATACACTTAACAGGGGGGAAAAAAGTATGTATCTTAATGTTCAGTGTATGGGTTATAAATGCAAGTAAACATGACCAGTTTGAATTATGAGGCACTCTCAGATACATTTGTACATGGCTCTGATTATTCCCTGTTTCTCATTTCCTAAAGGGGACATTGAGAACGGCTGCAAACTGATCAGGAACCGGTCAGACTGTAAGGACATCGACTGGACAACGTACACCTGTGTGCTAGGCTTCCAAGTCTTTGGTAAGAACATTACACTAATGTGGGTAGTGTGTATGAGCTTTTTACACACTGTGTTTACCAGGTAAACTGATGGTGGCATTCACATACACAGCATCTGGAAGGCATAAAGGTAGTGTACCTCTGAGAGTTCAAGGCCAGCCAAGCCTACATAGTAAAAACCCTTAATTTCAGATTCAGAAAGATCCAGTATACTGATTCAACCAATGTGAGATTATTCTCTGCAGACTTCCAGTTTGGGTCTCAAGAAAAGTAGTTGGCACAGTAGGGTAAATTACCTTCCAGTGGATTTGAAGCTTTCAAATTAGTAAAGACATTTTTTTAAAAACAGTAGCTTTTAGTGAGATCTCATCCGCATATTGTACAGTTTACCTAAAGTGTACAAATCAATGATAATAAAATTTATCATGCTCTGATCTTGTAATATTTTCCTCACCCACAGAGAAACCCTTTACTACCCATCTCTCCCTTTGCCCTGGTGGCTTTCAACTGTGGGTCTAATGACCCTCCCATAGCGGTAAAATTACAGTTGTGAAGTGGCTATGACATAATTTTATGGTTGGGGGTCCCCACAAGATGAGGAACTATATTAAAGGTTAGGAAGGTTGAGAACGACTGTTCTATCCAAACCCAGCAACACTACACTCATCTGTCAGTTCTCTATTCTGCATAATTCATATAACCACAGCTGCGGTCCAGTGATGATGGCTTATCTCACTGGGTGAGCTCTTACAGCTCTGATGCCCTTTTGAGTGGCAGAGACTACATTTTGTTCATCAGGTAGGTTGTGTCTGCTCTTCGATATTACAGTGATGCTGTGTAGATGGACAGAGTTTTTATGGATAGGTTTCATTTCTCTTGGGTATGCACTCCAGCGTGGCATTGCTGGGTCCTGTGGCCTTTGAGAACTACTAGTGTGTGAATGTGCCATGTACATTCAAATTACAGAGTTTTGGTGGCCTTACCAATGTGTGGCATGGCTTCCCCTTGTGGGTATTCAGTTGTCCTAGTGCCATCTGTTAAAATATTTAGGTGTTTTAAAGATAAAATTAGGGCTTATAGGGCTGAGGAGATGGATTATTTGGCACAAACTTGCAGCTGGCATGAACCTGCAGTCCTGTCACTGGTGTGGGTCCCTAAAGGCCATCGGCCTACCTGAATCTGAGCTTCAGGGTTAGTAAGAGACCCTGTCTCATATCATGTAGATGGAGCCAAGGAGATGGTTTTGTGGGTACAGGCATTTGCTTTGCAAGCATGAAAACCTGAGTTTGAACCTCCAGCTCCCACTTAAACACCTGGGACTATAACCCCAGCTTTATGAAACCAGGCAGATCCTGGGAGCTTGTTGGCAAGCTGTTCTAGTCAAAACAATGAGCTTTCAGTTCATTAAAGACTCTTGCTATTTTTTTTGTTAAATGTCTCTTATGTGTAAGAAGTGTTTTGCTTGCAACTATGTAAGTGCGCCCTGTGCATGATGTTGGGGCCAGAGGACATGAATTGAATGCTGTGGATTGTTGTGAGCCCCCGAGTAGGTCTAGGGGCTGGAACCCAGCTCTTCTGCATCAAGTGCTTAACAGCTACGCCATCTTCCCGCACAAAAGCTGACCCTGTAGGCAGAGCGCAATAGAGAAGACTCCCGGCAACAAACCTACCATCTCTCGGGGCTAGAAAGGCAGATCCGGTTTGATTCCCAGGCACCCGCTGTGGCTCACAATGGTGGGCCTGTTCCAGGGGGTCAGATGCCCTCTTCTGACTTTGTGGTCACCAGGCACACTTGTGGAAGCAAACACTCATACACATTAAAAAAGAAAAAGTTCTTCAATGTAGGACTCAGTCATGGGAGATCAACACTTCAACCTAAATGTTCCAGTTTGTTTGACCTAAGGAGAGTTTGTCTGTTTACTTTAATATCAGTTATGGTTTCTGCCTAATTTTGGTTTTTTTCTTAAGTTTATTTATCTTTATGTGCATTGGTGTTTTGCCATGGGAGTCCAGTTAACTGGAATTATAGTTGTGAACTGTCATGTGGTTGCTGGGAATTGAACTGAGGTCCTCTGGAAGAGCAGTCTTACCCACTGAGCCATCTCTCCAGCCCTCAGGCTAATTTTGTGCACCTCTTTTTCTCCAGGTGTCTGGCCAGAAGGATCCGATGGGACAGACATCAATGCACTGGTGCGGTCCCACAATAGAAGGGTGATAGCTGTGGCTGATGACTTCTGTAAAGTTCATCTGTTTCAGTATCCGTGCTCCAAAGCAAAGGTGAGCTCAGCTCAGCGGAAACCAGCGCTGCCCTACCTTCTGCTTCGGGAGAGCTGAGGAGTTACCAGCTCTCTTGGTGATGGGCTGCACAGCCCTGCTCAGTTGTCCCTTTTCACACTATGGGATGGACAACTGATAGTGTCCTCTTCCTGATTTCTTTCTGGGACGGGGTCTTCCTTCTGCTTTTGACTCCTGGGTACTGCCATCCCAGGCTCCCCTTCCCCCTTTTTATATACAGAAAAAGGCAAAGTTTTATTCCTCAGATCTGAGGCTTACGGTTGCGCTGTAAATTAAATGAAGCTGTTTTCATAAGCTGACTCAGTCTCCCAAGTTGTCTCCTTTGCTCTAAGCAGGCATGAGAAGAATAAGTTTCATTTTTCCATCACTTCTTTCCTAGGCTCCCAGTCACAAGTACAGTGCACACAGCAGCCACGTGACCAATGTCAGCTTCACTCATAATGACAGTCACCTGATTTCAACTGGTGGGAAAGATATGAGCATCATCCAGTGGAAGCTTGTGGAAAAGTTACCTTTACCTCAGAATGAGGTCATCACAGACAGCAGTCTATCCAAAGCCCCTGCCTCTTCCACTGAAAATGCCAGGCAGCCTAATCCTCCTCCCCTGCCTCCTTCCCAACCGTTAACTCAGACAGCTGAGGAGGAAAGCAGAATAAGCAGCTCACCCCCACTTGTGGAGAACAGCCTGGAGCACACTGCAGAGCCCGGCGAGGAGCAGAGTGAGGGGGGCAGTGAAGACCTTGGTACGGTGATTGATGAAGAGCCTGACAGTGAGTTAGGTGAGAAGCAGGGAGCACCTGACCTGCCTGAGGACCAGCAAGGCATACCACTCCTGTGCTGAAACGCAGGCTGCAGTGCTCCCTCAGCTGCCTGTGATGGGATGGAGTCAGGTAATAGGATGGGCAGTGATGGGGAATCATTGTGGATGGAGGTTTGTTTCCCACGTCAGATACAGCAAACCAAAGGTCGTTTGGTATATGATGAAAACGTAACCAAACTTAAATAGCAGGAGGAGACTGGCAGGTGAGTGTGGCTAAGAAATCACCACGTGTGGTGTGAATACTGGAAACAGAGCTGCAGTTGTACCCATCAAAATAAACCCGTTATCTGAGCGTGATTTCCTCAGAACCGACGGAGGCATCGCAAACACCATTGCTCGTCCACGGGCTCAAACTGCCATTTTTCCCGATACAGGAAAGTGATCTTATTGTGATAACGACCCACCCAAATGTCTAGTGGGAACTTATTAAGGAAAACTTGAGTATTGCCAAGTATGGTGGTGTTGCCTTTTCCTGTAATACTGCATTTTCTTACACTACCAGTAGATGTCTGGACATGCTCATGAGGCTATTCTAGGGGATGCCTTCTCTAAGTCATAACGAGGAACAGCCCTCCGTTCCTGTGGACAGAACTTTATCCTAGAAGCAAGCATTGGTTTGTTGAAGAGCTTTTAATGTATATTAAACCATGATTCTGAGGGATGGTGGGTTCTCCAAGAAGTCCTTTACCAGCCTAAACATTCTCTAATGTTTAGCATTCAAGGGAATGGAAAAAGAGGGAAAACAAAAGACTAAAAAACAAAAACCGCATGCCTTTAAAAGACAAACTGTAATGATGACCTGCTAACCCTCGCTAGCCTTCAGCACTGTCTGTTCCCTCAGTAGAAGCATAAACACAGTAGTTTAAATGGTTGAATTGGTGCTTGAAATTCATTGGTTCATTTTTTTTTATTTTTATTTTTTTTTTTTTATTTTTCAAGACAGGGTTTCTCTGTGTAGCTTTGGAGCCTATCCTGGCACTCGCTCTGGAGACTGACTGCCTCTGCCTCCTGAGTGCTGGGATTAAAGGTGTAATTTTTATACAAACTTATTACACTGAGGGATGTCTTTTTATAGAAGTGTAATAGTCACAGTACTGCTTACTAGGTGGCACCCTGTGCAGATGTGTGCTATCTGGGCATTTCCTTCTTCTGTGAGCCTTGCAGCCCCTGGATGGCCTGCTGTGGTGTGGGCAGTGCATGTTGGTATACATGGGAAGGGGCTTTTTTCAAGTTTTGTCAGATAACTATTTTTCTTAAGTATGTTTCCTACTTAAATGACTGACAAGTGTGCATTTCCTATGTTTGTTTATACTTTGATTACAAAAACTATTTTTTTTACCTTGCTACATTGTTTTCATACTTTTGTTGTTGGATTATGTTTAGGAACTTTTCATAGGTTCAGATGTCTTAAGTATGCAGCCGTTTACGTGACTGTGCCATTCCAAAGTGCATCAAAACTGTCATTCCCTTCTAGTGTCTTCTCAGGTGTTACTCCACGTGAAAATCAGGTATTTCATCATTTGGAAATATGAAAGCTCCGGTAAACTCCCAAGGACCCTTCTGACACTCGTAGCCACACGCTGTGTGGGAGGGCGGGTGTGGAGGGACAAGTGGAGACCTGTGTATCTCTAGATAAGATAGATGCACACACCAAAACGCTCACAGTGTAAGTCTGTCTAGGTGTATGTCCATGTATCTCTCTCCTTTTGTTTACAACATTGTTTTTAACTAAGGGGAAAAAGCACCTCAAAGTAGCTCTCTTCCGAAGAAGAGCTGCTAAGCCACCTGACTTTGAGTTCGTTCTGTACCCAGTTATCAGAGCGCAGCTTCAGGCATCTCTCTCCACCAGTTAGCAATGGTGACATAATCAAGTCCTTGAGAAAGGACACTAGGAGATGGAAGTACATTTCTTTCCGTGCCTGGAGAATACAGCTCTCCACAAACAGGGACTTTATTTGGGGACATCTGTCACCTTTGGGGTTGCCATGTACAATGAGATTTATAATCATGATACTCTTGGGTGGTTTCCAAAGACACTACTCATGCGCAGAAAGCGTTCCAGCCCCTAGTGCTGGCGACTACTGTTTCATGTCAGTCAGATCTGTGATAATGGCTGGAAGGATGTGGGATTATGAAATTGTAAATGTTTTCTTAGAAAAACTTGTGAATGAAAATGAACCCAAGTGTTTCATGTGAAGATGAGCCATTTCTATCATGCATTCCGATGTCATGGCAGAAAATTTTGAAGATTAAAAAATAAGAATCAAAACATTTTCTTTGCCTTTTTTTGTTTGGTGGGATTGTCAGAGATAGTCTTGCTGGCCTCGAACATGTGACAACCCTCCTTCGACAGCCTAGAAGGTTATTACTGGCAGGCTGCACCCCACTCAGTTCTGTCTTTCACATGTACCTTAAATTGGTTTATTCTGGTACACTATATGACAATCCAGATAGCAGAAGACATAGTGGTGCAGAAGGAAACACCCGTTGACTGCTGTTGTAGACACACTCCTGGTAGCAGGAAACCTCATGCCATAGAGAATATTGGTTCTGATGCATACTCCCCGTTAATAGGGAATAGTTCAGCTTCCGATCGTTTCAGAGCTGTGTTTTCTCTAGTGTTTAACACTGACTGGTCTTGTGGTCCTCACTACCCTGCCTGCCTCCTGGTGTTGTCTTTTGAAGGCCTGGTATTCAACAAGCTGGCACCCACTGCTTTCCCCTGTGCCTTAGCAGTGCACACGCTCCACACCACAACCGAAAGTTGACCATTGCAATTGTGGGAACTTGCTCAACTCTAATGGCTGCACATTCACAGCCACTCCCACACTCAGCCCTTCAAGTTCAAGGCCAGCCAGGGCTAGTTAGTGAGATCCTGTGTCAGAAAAGCGGGGGGGGGGGGGGGGCACTAAATGAAATGATTATTCTCACAAAATGAATCTAGGAAAGAAACTACAGGGAAAAATCAGTTGGATTTTGGGAGCATTGAGGTTAAGGCAAGGTAACTTTAGAGGGGCTGTCACCTGCGTAAGCAACAGTTAAGTGAAGTAAAACGCGTGTGAGGGTTTTTATGGGGAAGGGGTAGCTTTGGATTGTGTCTGTATGTGTCTTATTTGTTTGGCTTTTGAACAGTCACATGGATCCCAGGCCTGGCCTTGACGCTGTGGTCTGTCTTAGCCTCCAGGTTGGTAGGATTGCAGGCATGCACCATCATACCTAACTCAATGACCAACATATGCAGACTAATGATAGGCTGAGAACAGATGTGTGATGCCCTGGTGAAAGACACTGCTATGGCAGAATACCAGCTACAGGCCCAGCATCACACACACACCACACCCCACCTTGGCCATAAGCCCCTGTGGACCCTTAGCTAAGGAATCAAGACAGGAAAGCCAAATAGCCAACCCAGACTCACTTGCAAGTATTAGGTCAGGACTGCATGCTTAGAAGGCTCAAGAAAGACTACACAGGGACAAGGAGGCCCTAACAAGGGTAGACTCTGATTTTGCAAAGGAAATGAAACCCAGACAGGAGCCATGACAGTCTTGTCCAGCAATTGTCCAAAACTCACACCAAAGAAACATGGGATCCATGTGTTGTCCGAAAACAAAAAAGCTGCGGCTCTTTCTTCAGGGTCCCTTCTTAGTCTCACCACTCAGTCCACCTAACCACCTTTCCTGCCAAAGGAACCTAGAGAGGAGCAAATAATCCCAAATCAACAGAGTATGGTGACTTTGTTGTCACATCGTGGGCACAGCCTTAAGACTGCCTTACTGAACTGTCCTAACACTCCGGTCCAAAAGACTAGCAGGAAAACTCAGTTCTCCCACCCCACCCTCCGAAATATTTAAAAATAAGGAGAAATGGCCTGGAACAGGCTCGAGTGTTCACTACACCATGGGAGAGCTATAGAAGCTTTGGTGGTGATGGCCAACAGCAAATGAGTGTCATGAGTTCTTCATCAGCCCTTGCAGCAGTCCTAAATTCCATTGTCACCATTTGATAGACAAGGAACAAAGAGCCCAGTAACTTAAACAGATGGCCAATAGCCACAATTTGAAGGTTCTGCCCATACGTCCACCCCCCCCATGCTCCCACCTCAAGATTATACTCTAAAATGATGGGTGATTGCTCTCAAGAAGAAAACACTCAGATGGGTTAGCCAGCTAGAGAAGGCTTCAGACTCAGCTGGCAAAAAATGGAAAGACCCTGTAAGAAACAACACATTAGTGATGGTCAGGGGCAATGAAGGAAAGGTGGGACTACCAATGGGTGGCACCAGGGGGCCCCTTTGTGTTTTGCTTGTTTTTTTTTGTTTTGTTTTTAAAGACTATAAGACTTGAGATGATAGTTGCTTGAACTTGTATGTGAATTACCTGGCATCAAAGCCCAGAACTGGTTAATAAGTAAACTGGGTAACATCTGTGGGTTAACTATCAATTTCCTGTCAATAACAGTTATATAAAGTTTCACCACTGTTGGAAAATGAGGAAGGGTCACAGGACTCGAGAGTTTAAGCTTCATGTGTATCTTATTTCTAAATGAACTTAAAACATAGAAAATACATGGAAACTTCCCCCTTTTTCATTTTACAACAAAACCCTGGAAACAGTGTCTTGTGTAGACCAGGTTGACCTCAAACTTGCTATATAGTTGAAAATGACATTAAGAGCCTCCTGCCACCTACTAAGTGCTAAGCTCATGGGCACCCATCAGTCATACCTGTGAGGGTCCTTGTGTATGCTACGCAAGCATTCTACCAACTGAGCTACACTCCCACCAAAGCCCCTTTTGTGCCATTTCTGACCTTGTGCACCTGTGTGCTCTACCTCAGGTCAGATGACTGTCATAGGTACTGGGTGACATCTACAGCTTTCCTGGCTGGCTCTGCTTGTGGATTTCATGCTGTGTTGTGATCACAATGGGGCTAGGGGTGAACTTCTGAGGTTGTGATACCAGGGGGTTACAGGTTTGGCAACCCAGGCACTCTGATTTCATCTGCTTCATTCTAGTGCCAGCAGTTGGTTGTTCTCATTCAAAACGCATGGGGTCAGAAGTGCTTAAAAGGTTCAGGTGCTCCTCAGTTTTTCCCCTGTTTATATATACATAGATATCATGGGTGGGACCCAAGTCTAGACATAATCAATGTATGTTTCAAATATACATACACACAGCTAGAAGGTAACTACACACTAAATGCCTCTGCATCCCAAGGGTGGCCTGTCACATGAGATCAAGCCTGGAGTCTTCCACAGGTAGCCATCTCGGCACTCAAAAAGTTTTAAGTTTTGGAACATTTCAGAGTTAGCGTTTTCAATTTAGGCACATTTGTCCCATCTGTAACAGTTCCCACTTCCTACAGCAAGTGGGGGACATGGCCTTTGCTGTGCCCCATTGTTGAGGCAGGTCCTCCTTTCCCTTCACAACCTGTTTTGGGTTTTTTGAGGGTGTTTTTTTGGTTTTTCGAAACAGGGTTTCTCTCTGTAGCCTTGGATCCTATCCTGGCACGCGCTCTGAAGACCGGGCTGGCCTCAAACTCAGAGATCCACCTGCCTCTGCCTCCCAAGTGCTGGGATTAAAGGTGTGCACCACCAACGCCTGGCCAGGTGGGGTTTTTTGTCCCCCCCCCCTCTCTCTCTCTCTCCCCAAGAGGCAGGCACCGTCCACTTCTTCTTGGAACCCTCTCCTAAAGCTACCCAGGCCCACTTTCCTGGGTGCCTGCACTGAGCTATCTTCTTTGCTCAGAACTAATCCAATGAAGGGGAGCTTAGAATGAGCAGCCCTGAGAGGAGACCATTGGCTCTCTCCCAAGTGACTGCTTGGCAGGCAAAATCCATTTCCATGTGGCCAACTGTTTGCTGCCCCTGCCCATCTCATCACCAGAATCATAAGCAAAAATGTTTGCTGGGCCTTGACATTTCCATTTAGAAGATGGATTAACCCTGAATGGAGCTTAGAGTCCCCTTGGCAGGATTCACACAATCCCAGAGCCCTCCCCCCCCCCCCTGGAAACCAGCCCTTTGCTGGGAACCGATAAAGAATCTAACAAAACCTAACCACAGTCCCACCATAACCCCCATCCCATAATATCATCTTGCCTAGTGACAGTGCTGTCTGTAGACATTACTGTGGTGTTCACATAAGGAAGAAATCACCTAGATTTCCATTAAGTGATGCCCGAGCCTGCTGGCCACAGTGAGGAAGACTGGTTTTAACATCAGCTCCCATGTTGCCTGTGGTAGGTGGAGGTGAGGTTAAGTGCTGCCTGCCTGAGCTGCCCCGGCTTCTGGCCCCATGAGAAATGAGAAATGAAGAGAGTTTGGAGCTCTGTACCCTCCCACTTCCCTACCCCCCCCCCCCCCCCCCGTCTCCTCAAAAAAGGGAAGCCAGGCCTCTGTGGGCATGAATGGATGTCATTAGTGATCTTGATTACTGGTACAGGAAAGCCTGGCCCCTGCAGAGCACAGTGGTGCCTGTCCTGGAAGGCCACATTGTTAGGAACTCCAGGAGAGCCCGCAGGTGGCTCCAATAAAGACACTGCCACTCAGTCAACAAAACTGAACTCGTTTCCATGGGAAATGTGAAGATAGGGTTTTCTTTCTCTTTTTAATAAATCATAGTAGTCAATTGCGTTGTTCATTAAACATTAACAATCTAAACACAGGGATTTGTCCAAGAGGCCACTCAGGAAGCCAGATACAAAATGCAAGACTTCACAGATGTACCCTCGTCCCGAGGACCTCAGCAACTGCTCTTCCATGTGCTCAGTGTCACAGTCACTGTGCCACCGATTCACATAGCCATGGGACACATGACTAGTAGACACATGGGAGGACAGGAAGGCAGCGGAAGCCTCCAGTGCCCCAGCTGTTCCTAGGCCTCACTTCACCAGCCACCTTGGGCCTTTCCAACCCACCATCTACCCCTGGCACCAAGGACTCAGCACTGGAATTGGGGACTGTCCCCAACACACACCCATCCCTGCTGCCTGCCAACCAGAGTTTGCGCTCTCCTTACCAGGACACAAGTTTCCAGAACAAACCTGAGCCTGACTCTGGTACAGATCTGTTCTTTTCCCCCATGCATGCTCAAAATGCAAGTGTTCTCCTCCCCGGAGCTATACGAACTGTAAACAGCGCCACCTCTTTCATTCTTAGGCCCTGGCCCTACATTTGGAGAGCCTGAGGTCCCCAAGCTAAGCTCATCACTCCATCAGTTCTGGAGGCAAAGGAAGGGTCCCCATTCTGTCATGGCACCCCACAAGAGAA